ACACCATTATGCGAGAAGGGCACATCCAGTATATTCCATTAAAAATAATGAGAGCTTTAACTTTTTTTACATTTACACTCCTCTCCACATTGTACTGTACTGTAGGTGTTTCGATGTCCAAGGCCTTATTCAGGAGTTTTTCATGCCAGATATAACCTTCAGGCAGACAGCAGGACATACAGTATAGTATATAGCTCATCACCATGAGTGCTAGGCTTACAAAATCACTACAAACTGATTCAGGATCTACACAAAGGTGTTTATAGAGATAAACACCTGAGAACATAAACCTGCTGTAAATCTGACAAGAGAAAAAAGAGCAAAACTCGTATACATTTTGCACACTACTGTATGCATTTTGGAAAGAATCAATTATTTAAAGCCAACTACCCTATTCTGACTGCTTTTTGTGTTAGTATTTAAGTGTAGCAGTCTGGTGGTGGGATGTCAGGATGATTAAATGAACAACTAAAAGATTTCCAGATGACATAAGCAATGTGAACTTACAGCTGTGCCAGCTTATTGTGGTCATGAATAATGTATGTTACACTTCGATTTCTATATCACTGACACTAACAAATTATTCTGCAATTTGTTAGACATTTTGACCATATTTTTAAACATACTGTATCTATATCCTGACAATACAATGTCACGTGATGAGACTGGGAACTGCAAGTGATTTGTGAGAAAGGCAACAGCCAATTAGATTAATCATAATAAAACTGATGTAGAGTTACTAAAATGCCTTCTGCAAAGTGCAGTAAGTAATGTTTTTAATATGTCAAGCAGTGCTATAGTTAATAAAGAACAGAGGCACCTGTGCTCAACCAGCTTTTCTTGCTAGAAAGTTGAGCCTAGTATAGGATTTTAAGAAGTGCAAGGTGCTGTCATAACAGGTCTTCACGAGAGAAATGGTGTCCTCCTGACCTTGGCTCAGCCTTACAGATTCACTGCAAAGAAACTAAATGTTATTGCTAACATATCAAGTACCTCAGCTGATTTAAGAGCTCCTGTTCTTGTCTCTTTGGTACATTCTATGCTCAGATGGTTTAGAAATATTAAAATGTGATTGAATGCCTGGACTGAGTGCAGTCTTGAAGGCCTCCAACTCTTTCGCAGGGCGGTGAAGGACCGAACCCAGCACTCTGCTGGAACCAGAGGGGCCAGGGGCTGGAAACTGCCCTCTCTGCCCGAAGAGAGTAGCGACAAGAGAAACCTTATTTTTAACATTTCTGTACACCGATCCCTCAGCTGAATACGTTATCTGATGCATCCATTCCTCCATCCATTTTCTAACCTCTTTATCCAATAAAGGGTCACAGGGGAACCACAGCCTTTCTGATACAATAGTAATGAGTTTACCTGTAGGAGCTTTCAAACACACAGAGCTACAATCACTGGCCTCCTCTCTTGGTATGGTATGTTCTCCTTACATGGAAGTAGAGCAAAGATAAAAGATAAAAAAATATCAGTTTGGAAAAAATATTTTTTACCATTCCATCCCATTTCACAAATGGCAGCATAATAAACATGCTAAAATGAACTCTTCCACTCGTGCCCAGTGACTGACAGATGGGAGGAATGATTGTTCAGCTGGGAGGTCACCAGTCCATCACAGGGCACACACAGACACACACACTCACACACCCTGGACAGGACACCAGTCCATCACAGGGAAGACACACACAAACATAGCCAAACACACCAGGGCCAGTTTTCCCAATATCCAATTAATCTTCCAGCATGTATTTGGACCGTGGGAAGAAACCAGAGATAAAGAATGCATAGTACATTTACATTTTAATAAAACAGTATATTCAAGAGCCTTTCTGTCCACTAGCCCTTGACTTCAGCATGACAGAGAAAAATCTCACAGAAAAGTTTCTTCTGGGAATCCTGCAGAACTAAACACAAACTGTCTGGCAAACTATAAAAAGTCAGCTCAAACTGTTCTAGTTCAGCAAATTAGCTAATTTGTGTCCAATTTTGTACACAATTTGGACACTGTACTGCTATGAAAAAATGACTGTTACCTCTGTTTGGGGGAGAGTTTGTTTCTTGTGATTTAATGCTTGGCAGTAAAATTCAGAGTTAACTTCCCAGTATTGCCACTGCAGAGCTCGGCCATGTGTTCAATACTGACAGGTGTCCCAGAGGGAACCATTGTCCTGGCTCTGACCCAGCCAGAGCAGGAACATTTCAGAACACAGAGCACAGGGCTGCAGGAGTGTCTGCTACAGGCTGCACTCCCACTCCAACGCATTAGTCAGCACGCCCCAGCGTTACAGCCGGTTACATAACTTTATCATGAGGGCATTCTGTCCTCTTCTGAGGATTGAGTAGCAACAGAAATCAGAGTCAAGCATACCTAGAGCAGCTTCTCATTTAAAGGTCTTGCCACCCCCTTCTCCCTGGACAAAATAAATTAAATATCATCTGTAACTCTGACTGAGACAGTTCTGGATTTATAAATATATAAATGCACCACATCGGTCTTGACAAGTGAACTCTCAGCAGAGACGCCAGCTGTACTGAATGTCCTCTGTGTTCTGGCTTGCACAGATTAGGAGTACTCCTGAGATGCAAAGTATTGAAGGCACTGCATAACTTCCTTGAGCAAATCACATACATTTCTACGGTACTGTATATCATCAAAACGATTGACCTCAGAACACAACATTCTTTCAAAAGCAACACAGATCATATAAAACTGTTGAAGACTTTTGTGGCAGGATATGTGACAGCCCCTATCTTCAACCAAAGCTGTCCCAAGGATCTGCACAAACAGAAATTCATGAGGGCTGAAATAAAGTCCAGGAGACTTTGCTGTAGACCTTGTCAGGCATTTCCAATACAGAAAACAGCACTGTACTGAAACACATGCCTAATTACACTTATGTGGGAATGTGCAAGATCACCCTTCACCACTCATTTAATCAAATCGCCCTATGAACACCCAGTGTGACTATTTACAGGAAACAGAGATTGTACAGCTGCCCCAAGTGGCAGGTCAGCAGTACATATAACCCCATTTTAAGCTAGGCTGCCATAGAGTGATTGCAATTTAATTTAATTGTAATTTTTTGGTGTACAAATACACATTGATAAATATTAAGATATATTGGCTAAATATAAGGATAAGGAATTGAATTTAATGTCTTAAATGGAAAAGCTGGTAGTCTCTAAATCATGACATCTCCCCCCTCACAGTGGCACTAACAACACCTAATTAAGTGTATAGATTACAGAAGGATGAGATTTGGAAATCCATCTGACAATCAATAAACACTGTATTTCTCTTTTTAACGATGTCAGGCACTTATTGTTATGCAGAAGGATTCCCCGCTGCCTAATAAAAATATTTGTGGCTGTTCTGAAAGTAACTTTAAAAATAGATTCCCAGAGAGCCTTAGCAGCATCATTACCGGTCCCATGAAGTCCTCAGCTGAATTACATGCCATAAAGGCTAACTGAAACTGAAGCCTGTACAATGATAAAACTGTTTAGCATGTGTGATGTTTAGCTTTTCTTTCTTTCCTATAACTAAAAAAATCCTGCCCACATCTATGGATGAGGCCTACAGGCTTGTCTCCAATTTCTCTCTGACTTTTGTGCAGGTCTTCCAAACTCTCACGGTGCTCCTCTACCTCTCTCAGGTGGCTCATACAGCTGTTATGACCCAGAGTGTTCATGATGATTTGCTCCGTGGTGTCTACTCTGCTGCCTTCTTCTGTGGTGGCCCAGGTTTTCAGCCCAGATGGTGACTTCCTCAAGGAGCCACCTCTCATGCCAACACAGTGTGTTAAAAAACATCTGTCCAAAAAGGCATGATGCATCTCCTATGAAAGTCGATTGGTGATATTTATGCCGTAAATATTCTTATTCAAATCTATGACCTTTAATAACACAAAGCCTAAAGCACAAAAAAACCTTGCAGTATGGAATTAAGGTTTCTTTGGGTTCCTCACAAGATGTTCTGTCCATCTGTCCATGCACATAAAGTGCTCAACATCAACATCTTTCATAATGAGACTTACAAGGTGCTGGACAATAAACCAAGGTCTACCCAAAACCAAGTATACAATAGGGCAAAGGACCCTTGTGCGAGCCAGTCTTTCCACACCAGATTGCCACATTTATAGTAGATGCTGACTTAGGGCCCTGAATGCACTGCAGCAAAACAACTCCATGGTCACTGCCTCCTGCAGTAAGCAGTCAGGTCTTGGGGACACCCTGAGAGCTGGCATCTGCTGGGCAGACCACGGTCATGACTCAAAACCCTCAACGCCAGAGACAAGCAAGAAAACTCCTTGGGGTTCCCCCAGGATGTCCCTCATGGAGTATCTAAGAAGACAGTAGTGTATTTGTGTGCATGCCAGGATCGAGTTTAAGTATAATATCAGGTGTCGTACAAACATTTAAAAATAGATATCAGAGCAGACTGCGACTGCTAACCAGTTCTCAGTAAGGTGATCATGTGCTCCCGTTGACGCATTGCAGAGCATTCTTCATCCAAAAGAAATCCAACGTGTACAGACCTCACGCCAGTACACGGTGTTCACAATTATTCACTTAATGCAACAGATAATGAACCAAAACATCTTCTTTTCCAAGTAAATCCTGCCTTTTGGCTTTGGTATTTCTCTGGTTGGAACTGATACTTGCTCCTCTAAAATGGAAAAGAACTCCAAGCCGTACTGGCCATCGTGTGAGACTTTTACTCTTTTGTCTGCTTATCTCATTTAAATGATCCTGTAGGATTAAGATCTTGAATCGCTACTGAACCAATTACTGTTTTGCTATAGGAGCTGATTCTCAGAGCACATACAGGATGTCACTTGTTTTTGGCCTTCACCTTCCAGCTTTCTAATGCATATCACAGAGGATGAAAAATTGTATTATCCCATCTTCAGTGCACACTATATTCTATATTTACGTTTTAATGTATTCTTTAAACAGCATTCAGGACAAATCTGCTTCGGAGACATTTTTATATGCAATTAAAAATGTATTTTTTTATCCATTCAAAATGAAGGGCATATTATGAAGTGAAACATCATTCCCATCATTCTAAATGCTCGTCTACACTCGTATTTCTTTAATGCAGCTACATACACAGTAAACTAAGGTCCTCCTAGGCAGGGACCAAATGCACACTGTAAGTAACTGGTCGTCTTGCAGGTGAAACATTTCCGAGGCCTACAAGACAGAATGCCATCATAACATAATACTGCAGAATAAAGACCACATGACTCTGAATCACTCAGTTTGAGAAAGTCCAGAGTGTGTTGTTCACTATTGAAAACCACTGTGATTCACAGTCATGACCACAGATCATCCAAATCCAGTCAACACTCCTCATCTGAGGAGGCTGTCTTCCTAGTATTTTTTCTGCTAATTTAAAATAAAGTTGACTTTATGTCTAATGAAGCTTCAAATCTTCATTGAATGCAGAAGAAAACTGTGGTTATTTCTGATGGCACTGTGACACTCACTCTGGACTCAAAGATTACCATGGGGAAGTTTTGTAATTGGTTTCTTGTTCTCATAAAAACAGACAAAGCAAAAAACATACCAAACCTTCAAAAACAGGGTGAAGAGAGCTCCGCAGACACACTTTGTAGAGGTGATCTAACATTTTATTGTGTGTTTAGTAAACCACCCTCCTGATTTAATTATTTGACAATTAACCAGTATTTACATTTATCATACATTGATTTAAACTAAGACGTCCAACAACGACTCCCAATTAGAAAGGAAAAAAAATTTGCACTAAATAAATTTTAAAAAATATTTTTTTTGCAGTGCATGTGCGTTCAGTCAGTTTCAATGCAGACTGTATCTTGAAGAGCCGGTCCTCTTCTGCACAGAAGCTCTGTGGGCCTTCCCCTCTGCCCATCTGTGCCTGCCGAAGCCCGGCTCTGGGTAGACTGTGCGGAAGGTCAGATTGATTCGAGCACCTCTGTCGTGGTATTCTTTAGGAACCCGGTGCTGCCAAAGCAATTAAGAAAATCAGTTTTTCTGCTGTAATTAATGGGTACTTAGCTCAGCAAAGATCCAGTGCAGAAGAAACACAGACCAGGGGTACTTGCCAGGTTGGGCATCAACAGTACAGAAGATCAGTGAAAGAATTTTGCAGTATCTGCCTGAATATGTTCCATGTAAGAGACCATAACATTATTTGCTTGCAGTACAAAGTCATTTGACTTAAAGTTTACAGTACATCTCACATGTTCCTTTAAGGCTTGTATTTGTTAAATTGAGTATACAAAAAATATTTCAGAGCACGAAAAATAAAATGAGATTTAGAATGTGACTGTAGATTGTTTGACATGTTTCCAAATTAAAGAGCTTCTGTAAAACCAGAATTGGTTGACTGCTGTTAAAATTGCTTATGCGTCTCAAAGAGCTAAGATTGGAAATATAGAGCCGCTGGAATTTGTCAACTTGCAAAATCCGGTGGATGCATAAAAATACAAATAGGCAATCAGCCAAAAACAAATTAAAAATTTTAAAAAGCTTTAAGTCAATGTTTATTGTATTTATTTTCAAAAGGTTCATTTTTATTGAACCGTTCTAATGTTAATTCTTTGGGTGTGCTGCCCTTGGGCATAAGGCACGGATACGTTGGATTGGACGGCTGAACCAGCCCTTGGTGACAGGCCAGGCCAGAGCCCCTCCTCATGGAGCCAGGCTGCTGTTGCACAGGGCAGGGGCTCGAACCCCTGCTGCTTTTCACTCCAGTCCGGCCCAGTTACCTTACTGAAACCTAACGAGTGAACTAACAAGTCACATGGTTGGAAAATGTGAAAGTTTTTTCTTCCTTCTCAGACATCTGGGATGTTATTTTACTTCTGACTTGCAATAATTAAAAGGCAACTTCCAACATGTTAAAGAGGTGAAAACAGTCAAACGGCTCAAACTGGTCTTGTTATTAAATCCTTATTAATGCTCTTAATCATTTAAGGGTACAGCTGTGTGTCTAAGAGCTCGGCTGCAATTAAAAACAGGAGACCAGGACTGGGAGCCCCAGGGAGAGGACCTCCGGCTTTATAAGAAGCAACGATTCCTCTTAAAACCATCTGTGTGTAGATGTAGAAGCCTCTGGTCCTGAGGGATGGAAAGTTGTTTATAAAACGAAAGAAAATACATATTTTTTTAAAGAAGATGGAGCTATATAGCTTTGCTTAGAATACAGTTACAACAAACCGTAGTTTTTCTATATTTGCACTGTTGTCTGTTGTGTATATTTGCACAATGTCTGTTCTTAAAATTAAGGAAAACAAGACCTTGACACTTATTACATCTTATCTTCCTTATTAGGCATTGGTTGCACAAAAGGGAACATTCGTTTGTTAAATTTTTGGAGCCAAAGAAAACAAGTTTGACTAAAAATAACTAATGGAATTCACAGACGTTTTCAAACATTATCAAAATGAACCAAATATGACTCTGAATGGGGGGAGGTGGGGGCTTGTTTAATCATAACTATCATTTTTAGCCAAAAACGTTTTGGCTAAAAATGCAGTCATCAAACTTCCCAACAAGGCTGTTAATGCAGGAACATGTTTTGGATCACAGTGACTTATGGCTGCTTTTACCACTGTGTACAACATCAATACTTCATAATAATCAACACATAGACTTTTGTGTGCTCATGTTGTATGAAATAATTTGCCAAAATCCTTGATCACCTTTAATGTTGACAACTTTTCAAACATGTTAAAATGGTTGCAATGTAATTATCAGGCATTGTTCTATGAGCTACAAGCCATTAAAAGTTTGATACACTCTGGACCCAACCTTTATGTGGTCTGAACTTGACAATTTGCACCAAGACCTGACAGATGCAATTGTAAAGCTCTCAGAGAGGCTTTGTTATGATTCCAGGAAGGTTCTGCGAGGTGTTGAAGAAAGCTGCGTGTTTCTGTGACCTTCGAACTCACTTCACTTTATGAGCAATTACAGTTGACTGTCTTTTTGGAAAGGATATAAAAAAAAGAAGGCCATTAGCTTATCTGGCATGACTGACAGTTTAGCAGATAAGTGAAATTTAATTTTAACTAGTCCTTTATTAAACAATCCAACAGTTTGGGCCTCAGGTTGGTGAAACCTGTTACAGACGCCCCTCAGCGTAAGGAATTGTCCCCCGTTCTCCATCTTAAAGGCGTTTTTATAAGTTTCCAATCATGCTGCCCCCCAGTACTTATTTCACTGCTGAGTATGAAAAAGTCTCCTGGGAAGGTCTTATGCATTTCCATAAGATTTTAGATATTCAATAAAATTTCCTCTGCATCTGCTTTGTTCTAGACTGAAGAGATTTATCTCCCTTAACCTGTTTGTAAATGGCTCCCCCCTGAGACCAGAAACCATTCTTATTGCTTTTCATTGCATGCCTTATAAAGCTATTAGATATATTCTAGATGAGGTGCTACTAGTGTGCTGTAAAGCCTTAGCATACCTTACATGGATTTAAAATCAATACCCTATGTTATATAAAGTGAAATGTTTATGTATTGGAGCAGGGATGTGACAGTTTGGAGAAAAGGAAAAATTGCTGGAGGAGTAAATAAAGCAAAGATCATTAAATCATTTAAATCATCAAAGAGATGTGAAAAAAATAACTCAAGGGGAATGAACACTTATGCAATTAGTTATTTTCACTTCGACATTATAGGGTATTTTGTCAACCAATGGCAAGAAATCTTAAACATACCATGATTCCGTATGGTACCAATAACATGTGGAAAAAGTCCAAGGGGATGAATAATTTTGATAGACATTTTATGTTCTAGCATTGTTTTTCTAAATTAGTCAAACATAAAAACCTACAGTAAGACTCTTCTACAGCTTCTTCAAGCTCAGTTTTCCCACTTTCGATCTAGACTTGTTTTCTCTCCCTGCACATAAAGCTCTTCCACTGCCCACAGCAAACATCAAGTCTGCTTTGCTGCTGCTACAGTTTTTTGTTCTTATGTGGGTATCACCTGGAAACTGAAGGCATCTTTATGTAGCATTAGAGAAGGACAAAACTGCACAAACATCTTCAAAGACGCACTTGTCAACTTCTATAGTCAGATGCCTGTCACTTGGCATCTTTGCAAAGGATCCTTCGCTTAGACTTAATCCTCTAAACTAAGGAAAAGAGCTCTACCTGATGGCCATTTCTGATCGTGAAAGACTAGAATATTAGGGATTCAGAATCCTCCATTCTCTATGCCTTTGGCAAAACTTGTTCACTGGAGAGGGTTTTGACATGAATACGACAGTTTGATGACCTAAAAAACGCGTCATTTCCTTCATTTTGATATTCCTCACAGAGGCTGCTCATTGTTCCTCCTTAGCAAATCAGTGTATTTTGGGGCTGAAAGGCCCAATCTCCTTTAATAGATCATGTGGAAAAAATGTTCCTAAAAATAGGTCTGCCATTCCCCTAGTGCCCTTTGTTTCTCAGAATAGCAGTAGAAAAGGACAGAATAACTAAAGTTGTTTACTGGATCTACCAGCTCAGTGCAGTCAAAACCAGTTAAACAGAGCAGAGCCTCATTCAAATCCTGGTTCTTTTAAAATACTGGCTTATGCTGTTTGCGTAGAAGGAAAAATGAACAGGATATTAGCTAAGAATACAGCAACACACTACATTTTTTTAAAGTCAACTGATTGGGGTAAAAAACAAGAGGAATGAGTTGACCAGGGCACTGGAATCACCTTCCAAAGACCTGATGATTTTTAAAAGCAAATCTAGAGTTGAAAGAACAAGGGAAACCCATTCGCGCTCTTGTAGATCCCTTGTTTGTGGGACCTCTTCTCTGCCAGCCAGGTATGCTGACGAACGGGAGAGCACACCGCAGGAGTCGGGGGGGGGAGTAAAAACACATGAGCCAGCCTACGTGACGCGGGCTGGAGAGGCAAGAGCCTGCATTTACCTGCCAGTCCTCCTGCACCGCCCCCTCCATCAGCAGGAGCGTCCCATGAGCCAGCGGAACCCGGAGCCGCTCCACATACGTGTGGTCACCGCGATCCTCCTGCCACACAGCACAGGGGGAGCAGAAGACAGGTTAGTCCCACGGCCCATTAGCTCCTCTGGCTGCTCGGTGCAGGGAGCAGACAGAAGAAACGATTCCGCATCTGTCTGAACCATTTCCGCTTGTCCAATCCAATGTTTTTAAGAAGCACTTCTACGCTGTAAATGCAAATTTATGCAAAAAAGGAATAGCCAGAAATAAGCAGTTTTCTGGTTTTGTTAGATCAGAAAGCTCATGAGGAGGAGGTTTCTGATTAGAGCAGATCTTAGGAGATCTTGTGCTGTCTTCGCCCACAGTGAGTCTGCACAGCAGAAGTGAAAGATTTCCTCTCTGGTTTGAGCACAGTTCAGCCCGGCTCAGACACAGCCGGCTCTGCAGGGCGAGACAGCAGGATGAGCCCCCCCACTGTAATGCCAAGGAACCCACTCTGTGGTGTCAAACGCCCCAGCGGAGGCGCTCTCTCTCACCGCGGCGGGCTGCTTGCGCATCTGGAAGGTGCGCGTGTCCCCGAGGCTGAGCGAGGCGATGGTGGGCCGCGCCCCCAGGGAGGGCTCCGAGTCGCTGTGCCAGGCGATGCTGTCCTTGCCGTCCCGGTACAGATTGCACAGCAGGGAGTTGAAGGAGTGACCGGATGCCAGCTCCACCTGCCCTTTCAGCTCCAGCAGGACGGGGTGCCACTGCCGTGAGCACACAAACAAAAGAGTCGTCACCGTTGTCTCCGCTGACTTCCTCCTGCTCTCCAGAACCACACCGACAGCAGGATTCAGGCACGCGATGAGCTCTGCCGCCTATCAAAAGGTTCATTACTCTGCAGTAAAGTGGGACGGCAAGAGCGACACCTGCAGGTCACACCACAGAAAATCACCCTCTTTGTGTTTTTAAGGGGATAACTCTGAAAATGGGGGTGGCCCCTGACTTTGATTTCCTGATTCATCCGTTTCCGAGCTAAGTCTCCCATTGTGAGGCAAAGTGATCTGCAGCTACATTGGGCTCATTTCATCTCACATAAATGTGAAGTTAAAAATAATATTAAACATGCATATACCCATCACTTCATTCATTCTGCCCATAATCCAGAACGGAGGAAACCGTTCTGCAGTGGAGGCCTTTTTTCCTTACGCTGATACAGAAACGGGGGAAGCACCAGGTAGAGCGCTTCACATCTGAGAGCAAACCCGCGAGAGGCAGGCGATGCACTTGGCTCAGAACAGATTTCTACACATAACATGAAGAATATAAATATCTAGAGCTCATTATTTTGCAAGAATAATAAATGAAACAAACAGTAGATTAAAAAGAAAAACAATTCAGAAGCCAAGTTCTTTACCAAAATCCCTTTTTTCATAACCAGTGTTCAAGAGTGCTGGATAATGTTTCTGCTGTAGTGATGATGAGTTAAGATATTGAAAACTGAAAAAAATCTCAGGCTCCTAGGAGAGTTACAGGAATTAATTAAAGGAGCCCTGGCCACAATAAATCATCTATGTTGAAACTTCCAAGCACAAAAATGAGTTCAAGTTGAAACAGGGTATTAATTGTACCCCAAACCATTGCTGTTTCACCACTAAACACATCACATTCCACACAGCTCCCTGCAAATATCTTCCCCTGGTGTTAAAAGGCATGGAGTCTGCCAGCAGCAAACCTCAAAAACTCAAGTCATATCTTTTGTAACCAAGACTACCTCCGTATTCTGCTGAGCAAGTCAATGTTAATGAGAAAGCCTTTGACCATGACAATGCCTTCAGTATCACAACCCATAGTCTCCCTAGTATTCATCTGACTATTCCATCACCAACTGGCCCTTTTCAAGCTGAAGCTTTAGTCACATGGGTGTTTAAGATGAATGCTCTAGTCCCTTCTTGTTGTGACAGCTATTGAGGAATCACCAAGACAACAAACATCAGTAACATTACCAGCCCTCCTACCACAGACTAAGAGACAAGTGTGATAGAGTCTTAATAGTTGGACACTGAAACAGAACCACCAGGTTCTGCAACACTCCAGCACTCACAGCCCTAAGAACCTGGGTGCTGGCAGCAGTCATAGAGTCATAGTATCAAATTACAAATCAATGTCATTTTGGGCCAAGATTGGCATTGAGAAACAGATATTCTCTGAGCTTATGAGGTTCTTGTTCTGCGAGGCAGAGCTCTTGCACTGAGAAATTGTGTTGCACTGAAAAAGTGTTTTGTTAGCCAAAGTGGTCTCTCACCACGTTCCCAGATCAGAAGTCTACTATACCTCCGGGTTTGCCTGCAGGGTGGAATTTGAATAGGTGTAGGGCAGCTCTCCGAACCAGCACGTCAGCCTGGGCTCGTCATATAAAACCCCTGAAACCACACAGAGCACAAACTCAGGCCGCAGTTCACCGACAGCCCCTCCGCATGTGACCGAAACAATCCAAACTGGCACTGTCTAACATGTCAATTGAATCGCAGGAAAACAACACTTTCCATTCAATTATCTAAGGCAGGATGAGATCAATTACTGGGTCAAAGGTGATCTTACACAGCATGGTCAAAGAAGCCATCCGACAGATGTCATAAGAACAGGTGAAATTCTAGCTCTCTAAAAATACTGAGAATAATAAATAGCTTCTCCAAATTCAATGTAAAAAATAGGGAAGATAAAACAAATAAGATGAACAGTTTCTCACGTGTGCTAAAGCAGAGTACCAGAAAACACTCAGGCACAACGATCAGCCACTGACCAAAGTGGAAGGCAGTATTTCATAGAAGTTTTTGAGTCTAGAAAATATTTTTTTTCATTTTTTTGTTTTACATTTACCATTTGTTTCTGTCACTGTTTAAGCTGATTTAGCTGCTAATTTTCCCAAATAAATGCTAAAATTGCTACAAATCGTTTATTTTAGTAGTAGAGAGAGATGTTTTACTAGCCTGTGAAAGAATTATTGTAGTGGTTGTAGCTGGGTCAGTCATCAAATTCTCACATTTTCTGGAAATGCTTAATTTGCAAATCTTCATGCATTATGGCAGTGTTTCAAGTTTTAAAATGGTGCCAAGTACTGTGAATTGCTAAGCATGCATGTTTTTGATAAGCACAGATTAGTGAAACTCAGTTGTTTTGACAAAATAAATTGTTTTTTTTTTTAACATGAACCCTTGTGATTTAAATGTGATCATTATATCATGGTATCTGGTGGACACCAAATATATAAATACAGAATGTAAGCAAGAAGAATATACACAGTTCCCCTTTTCACATTTTGGATACATTTCTGCCATTTAACATAGCTGTTTGCTAAAAAGTGCTGCCCACTCATGTTGGCATCTTCATCAGAGCCTGACAGGCTGAAATGAAATGGACCAAAACGGCCACAAAGTACTCTTCTTAAATTTAGAAGTGCACAGACTTTATGGAACGAAACATTCGCAAGTCTATAAACACAGCATCACGGAAAAAGCCACAGCTCCCATCAGACTGGCAAAGGTTCCAAAGTACACATTACAGCTGGATTTGTTGTATATTCAGGAAAGCAATTACGGACAACTGCAAGAACAGGCCGGCGCCTACAGGAAAGCTGGGATACTAGCAGACATCTCGCAGAGTAACGTGATCCAACTAAAGTCACCGAATTTTCTTTCGATACAAGATGAAAAGCTAAAATATATGCCCCGGATTTTAAACCCAGTATCCACAGCCTATGAATTGTTTTTTTTTTTTTTCCAGCATGATGAAGCAGGGCAGCAGTGAACTTCAAAATTATTTTGAGCTTTCATCTGCCAAGGCAATTTTAAAAAACAAAAACTAGTACGACACTCTAAAAGAAAAAAAATATTAAAGCACATCAACATCTGCCTATCAGGGTTGGTCAGAGATCTGCTGAGCTATGTTCCTCTTTCATTTGCTTGCTCTGTGCAAATGGAACCAATTGAAGGTATTACACTTGAAAGGTCCAGCATTTAAAAGCTGCGGCTGGCAAATCCCGAAATGGAACATCCTGCCACAGAACGGGAGTTACTGCACGTCAGTTTCCCTGCAAGGGCAGGAGAGCGAGGTGCAGGAAGAGAAGACTTCGTACCCTGATGCATGTTGGACTTCTGCTGCCAGGGAAGCTCCTCCAGGAGTCTTGCGAACATCCAGTCAGCCTCACCAACAGAGAGGAAAGAGGGAAACAGGCGCAGCCTGTGGGCACAAACCACATGAATGAGTAACTCCCCAAGCAAGCCTGATGCTCCATACGTCTTCTCCCATTAAAGAAACAGACCAATTAAAATACTAAAGGTTCCTTACTTTTTACCAGTTACATAACCCAAGAATAGTTTTTATGCATTTTTCCTGTCTCTGGAAAGTATAAAGACCCCAAAACTTCCATCCATCCATTTTACCAGCTTTACCATCAGTTCTCACTGTGGTGAGCAAGAGCAAGAAACTGGGCTGCGAAGCTTCACACAGCCCTCGTCCTCACCTGGAAATGCCTGTGGGGCCTTGGCTGATCACAAACTCTCCCTCTTTCCTGGGCATGGGCAGAAAAAAGAGAAATCTCTCAAAACCGGGCCCGCTCTCCTGCTGCAAACTATCTGGATGAAACCGTACTGTGGGCATCAACTGTGGCCTCCTTTCCTTTCAACCAGTAGTCCAGAGAGGCGAAGACCTTCCTCCCTCTGTGGCTCGTTTGGGACAGGCGTCTGACACTGCAGTCCCAGGCCCTTGAGCTCCTGCTCCTGATGGGGCTGTAACCTTCACCAGATGCCAGGGCGTTACGGGCCTGGTGGCATAGTCCTCAGCACTGCTGCCTCGCAGCCTCACAGCTCTGGACCTGGGGTGCTGTCTGCATGGAGTTAGTTTGTGCTCCCCGTGTTTGTGTGGGTGTCCTCCTGGTGTTCCAGTTTCCTCCCAGAGACCAAAGACAGACTGGTATGTTCACTGGGGGCTTCTGGGATAACTGGCTCTGGTGTCAGTACGAGTGTGTTTGTGTCTGTGTGTCTATGTTAGATGAAGCAATCAGAAAATGGTGAGTGGAAATAGCAAATTGCTCCTTTGATTGAAACACGGTGCTGCACACCCACAGCAAAAAAAAACAATGAAATAACAGAAATGTTACAATAAAGGCAAAATTGAAAAGCATTACTGCATAAGTATTCAAACCCTTTTCTGTGGCAAACCTAAATAATGTAGGTGCACAAAATAACCTCAACAAGCTTCACAGATAGCCAAGTTGCCTTTGTGTGCAATAACAGTGATCCATATGATCGCAGAATAAAATCTCCTCTATCTTAGATTTTCCAGGCTTGCAGCTGCACTTGCTTCTAAAGATGTTGCCACTGAATATCCAGTTCCAGTTCATGTGTCTGAATACTGATGCAAACCACATATTTCCATTCTCTTTAGTTTTGGCTGACACCTACTGTAACCTATCTTAGCTTTAGAAGTCATGAAAACAAACATTACAGCAAGGCTCTGACTATGGTCTGAGTACTTTTGCAAGGCGCTGTATTTTCGGGTGCATAAAACAGTTAAATCAATGTAACGCAGTTCAGACAAATGTGGCATGGATTTAGAAATGCCAGGAACTGCTTTACTAACTACAACACACTGTTCTCGGTTTAATTTTATTCACACTTCTACTGTAAGAAGATGTGAATATAACCAAACTCACAATGTCTTCTTCTCATTCCACTTATAGTAAGAATGCCAAATACAGTACGTCTGTGTTTGCCTCAGTGGTTATCTGAGGAATTTAGAACACTCAGATTTTATCTCAACTAGGATTCAAGCTTCACATGCAGCGAGGAACTGACAAAAATCGATCCTTTCCAGGAAGAAGTGGCACACCAGTCCTCTTCTCCATAAGCTCTTGAAAGCCACTGTCACTCTCTACATCCCTAGTCCAGGTGTGTATCAGCCAGTTCCTTGCCACAGACCCTCACTGTGCAGAGTCAGAGAACTGTGCCAAGCAGGCTGTGCTTCTCTCATGACATAAACATAGGCTCTCTATTACATAAACAGCCTTAGCTTATGCCTGAACTTTCTGTTTTAAAGGATTGGAGAGCTCTTAAGGTTAAGATTAAGCTAAAAGACATTGCCAACACAGCCTCACATGTGTGAAAAACTCTGACACCAATGTGTGTTGTGCAGATTTTTTTTTTTTTCCCCCCCAAAAAAATCCATTAAATGTAATCTTGAACAAAGTTCGAAGACCCCCAGCAATAAAAAAATTGTTTTACAAAAACAATGCTAATACAGAATTAGGATAGAATGAATAAAGCACCCGCAGAAAATTAGATGAAAACATTTTCTAAATTATATTTAGCCTGCAATAAAGAAGTTACATTAAATAATACTTAACTTAATTTAAGCATTAAAAGCAGGAACACATGTGTAAATTACTTTTATTGCCAGTGTCGCATCTGAAAGTACTTGCAGACGGTGTGATACAAGTAAGAAAAAAATACTTTATGTTGCAGTAAAGGCAATTACACAATCATAAATCATGATGGATTTTGACCCCACTTAACTACATTCCTTATGAAGAGAGTATTCTGTTGGTTTTAATCCACCTCTTTCAACATGGTTCTGTCAATGTAGGGTTTGTGTAGTAGACTTGGGCCTTTTGGCTCACAGCAGCAGATCATGTGAGTTTTGAGTTTACTGAGATTTTTTTTATAGTGCTGAAAACGATCTTGGGAATCAAACCCATTCCAACCTAGCTAGGTCAGGAGAGGCTGACATCTCTGATGACTGCGGAAGATGCTGAATGTATAAAACAGATGCAGGCAGTCTGATCCTGGTACTACGTCTATCTAGCAACTACATTTATATTCAATCTTTTCTCTCTGTTAAAGGAAGTAAAGAAAAATAAATTTTGACTATTAACCAATGTGATTGACTGCTTAACAGTCTAAAAGAGTGTGACCCTTTTAGACAAGAGCACAACATAAATGATTTTGAACATATTTAAAACATTCTTTAAAAAAGTTACTCCAAAACTCGATACTGTAAAATGGAACATCATCTCTAAACAGACTTTTTTACCCTTAAATATATAAAGTATTGAAAATTATTGCTAGGGTGTTCATCACTGGAATGCTCCTTAGTGTCCCTAAGTTTGCTATAACTACAGTCTTTTTGTTAACTACTCAGCAGCAAAAAGTAAAAAGATTTACATGTAAAAAGGGAAAAATGAGCCAAGCATACTCACTCAATGACTTTCTCTGCTGGGATTTCCCTCCTGAGCTGTTGACAGAGAGAAGAAAGACTAGATCAGGCCTAGATCCTTAGAATAGCACAATAAAGTCACACTCCAGAACTTAGAATTTGACACAAATTGATCCCTTTCAGAAAGAAGTGGTAAACCACTGTCACTGTCTTTATCCCTAGTCCAAGTCTGTATCAGTCAATGCCTTGCCATAGACCCCTCACTGAGCAGTCAGAAAACTGTGCTAACATTTTAGTTTTAGAGAGAGGATAAAACAGTGCATAATGATTTGCCACACAATCATTCGTTTTTGTTGTAATTCTCAGGGTTACGATGCAGTTACAAGCCCCGTTTTAACTGTAAAGCAACCCTGCAGAGGACTAGGTGTTGGGTTACTTTCATATATCTGATGTCACAAAAGTTACTTAGTAAAATCTAGTGTGTCCTATTTTTTAAATGAATGTCCAAATAAAGATGAAGATTAAGAAATCTGTACCACTTTAACTCAATTCTTTCTGCAGGATTTAGACTGCAGTTCCTTTTATGGGGGTTTCCTTCCACAATATATGGTAGGTTAATTGGCTGCTCTATAACTGGAGTGGAGTGTGTGTTGAGCAACAGATAGGCATCCTGTCCGGGATGTATCTCCCCTTGTGCCCAGCTCTTCCCAGGATAGGCTCTGGTCCACTGTGACCCTGAATTGGATAAGCAGGTATTGAAAGTGATGATGATGATTATTACAGTTCCCAACAAGTCATCTCAGGTTCTCTGGCCAGCAGCTCTAATGTGTGATCTGGCACCACCTGCTGTCTGATTCACACCAGGCAGAACTTGTGCTTTGTTGCTGGACAGTGCAGTCATCTGACCAATAAGTTGTGGTACACAGACTAAACAAATTTACAATCAATTTCACACATATGACAGAAAACATAATGACTGGAAGATACACTAGGCTACACAATGAAGGTTTTGACTGTGGGATCATTCAAAACTACAGCAGACCCTGCAATGGCACCAGTGTGGCATAGTGGTTAGGGCTCTGGGGCTCTGGGGCTCTGGGGCTCTGGGGCTCTGGAATCCTGCTTGTGGATTCAATCCCAGGTGGGGACACTACTGCTGTGCTTTTAAAGACCCTTACTCAGACTGCTCCAGCAAACCCTGCTCTACAGTCTCTTGTGGCATAAATCAGATAACTTTAGCCTCAGGAACAAACTGTGGATTAAAGTGTTAGATCAGTTCTGAGAAGAGCAAGTTACAGTTACACCCCAGAATTTAAGGGTCTCAAAACATTTTGAAGAGAAGATTAAATGGTGCACAATGACCCTTATTATTAATAACAGAATTACTTAATGTGTAAGAGACCAATGAGCCAAATAGCCTGTGTGCATCATACATATTTCTTGCAATTGTTTCTTCATTGACAGTTTTTAGATATTAAGGGTTTTCATTTTTGGGATGTGCTCAAAAAATCCCCACGAAGAACTATCCTGCTGATACATTCATTCCTCAGCTCTCACCTGTGTTGGCTGTTGGAACTCAAATTTCACCTCTTCCGGACCCCAGCAATTTGGGGCTGTAGAAGGCGAGCTTATTACACCTGGGGTTTCTGAAACAGCACCCAACATGTTAAATAAACAAAACAAAGGGGTTAACAAGATAACCCTCTGAAACAAAAAAGAAATCCTTTGTTCCACAGACGCATTTAATTAGCCTTTTAGTGCTGTGGTAGGTTTGGTCACCTACTGTTGTGAGTCATTCTGAGTTACTGGCTGTTCGTACAGTATATTCTGATTTATTATAATAACACCTTACATTTAGAAGTGATCAAGGGTTTCTGATGATATGTATTTTAGTGATAACAGAAAAACAAACAAACAGGTAACTGGATAATTTCACATACCTCTGGGGTTAGGGGCCTTTGGCAGAGCTCTGGCCCAGGCTCCTTGGACTCTTGCTCGCTGTCTCTTGTCTCCCATCTTTTGGCTGATTATTGCTACCAGTGGAGTACAAAAAAATGGATCTGGTATTCCACCCCCCCAAGAAATGGTCGTTGTGGTAAAGTTACCCTGATTAAAGATTTTATTGTCCCCTGAGGGATTTTTTTTATGGACACACAGCAAAGTGATTGAGAAAGACAAGTGATTACAGGTTTGGGCGGTGCGAGAGAAGGTGGTTAAAAGTAATTACTGGCAATTCGAGCATCATTCAGGCAGGTAGTCTGTGAAAACACCTTGCGGATCCTCATTAGTGCACAAGTCACACCAATACATCTTGGCCGCTAGTCAGGATCTCAGACCGAAAGAGCTGCTTCAACGCCTGTCGTTCAGTAACAGCCTTTTACTGACACCTACAGATAAGGTACCGAAGCAGACGCACTTCGTTTTAAATTTTCTTGGTTCTGAAATGATTTAAAGTCTTCGGGTGCACTCCGTAGAAACTACAGCAAGGCGCAAGGCAAAGGCAAGATCATCAGCGATCAAGAAATCATTACAATTATAGAAATCACTCATTCCCATAGCTGATAAGAACACGAACCTGAAAGCAAAACTGCTTCTAACAGCAGAGTCCGAGTCTATTTCAGTGTTAAACAATCACAGCACTACAAATACCCACCACAAATATGTATCCAATTATTTTAAAGTTTGATATGCTAATTTGGAGTATTTTATTGCGCAATTTAAATAATGACGACGCGACGAGCGGTACGTGCGGAAAATAAAATTTCAAATGATACATTTGATAACATCGCTAATGATATTATAAATATGTTTTTCTAAAAAGCAAAGATTTGTATTCAAACCTGGAATATCACATTGCCGTGTTATTGAGGTGTTGCAAGAAACAATACGGGAGGGAAAACGAGTCCCACAAATCAAAGGTTCCTAGCTATAAATATATATTCCGCCTAATTATTACATGTTCGTGTAAATACTCATGTATACACAATAGCAGTAATATAGACTTTTCGAAATGGTCTCACATGATACTGATAATACTTTCCTGATATTGTTCGAGTCATTTTAGTTCAATTTTTACAATATAAAAAAGTCACCGTTTACCAGTTAGCACAATGTGAGTGGCTCAGTCGTTGGTTTATTGCGACGAATAAACGTGCTCTCACAGACTTGAGGCTAAACTAGCCCGAGGTGAAATGTAGTCAGGACACCAGGACTGTTACTCCCACTCTTACATAGAGCTACGGCAAGAGCCAGGTAGAGAGTTATCCCGAAGATGGCACCTCCTACAGTATATCCTACTCAGCACTGCAGTTTGTCCCGTTACCGGCCTGTGGAGCTGGTTTGGATACTCGGGACACAAGCAAAAGCGCCGCTTACAGGCTGCTTGTTCACGGAGGTCTCCCAGCACCAGCTCTGCTTAGCCTGCGAGAAACCTGGTAAACCTCTCTTGCACAGCTGAGGGAAAGGGGAAAAGGACAGCTGTGTGGCAGGACCGTTCTCCACTCCCCGACATGCATTACAGAAGAGCAGGGCAATTCCTCAGGCTGCTTCCGAGACACTTATGGTTGGGCTTTGGTCTGCATTTGCCTTAGGATGAACCACAGCAGTCAGGCTGCAATGTACAGTGTGTCCTTAAGGAGAATGGAAACTACTCCAGCACAAGGCTACATTTCTGGTCATCGAGGACCATACTATGGATGTTTTAAGGATCTCCTTTGATTACCAACGATCAAGATTAAGACTTTGAAAAAGTGTAAGAGCTTTTTTCAAGAAAGAAGGTGAGGGGGCGGAAGCATAGCAGTCAACATTACCAGTTGATGTACAACCACAACTCCCTCAAGTTTTATACAACAGGTAATTTGTTCAAGTTAATTCAGACTGCTTGTGAAGAAGCTCAAACTGTGATCAAACTATTCTAGATGATGTGTATTGTCTTACTGTCCCATGACATTACACACCCTCTTATAGTTGCTGATACAAGAGTTCGCAAAGGGAGGTTGCTTAGCTACAATCAGGTGCTTCAGTCCTTTCCCCAAAGCAAGTTGTTTCTATGCTTATGTACCAATGTTTAACAGAATTCTGTTTTGATTAGAATAGGTAACCCTTTCTTATGTAATGTGAGGATTTTCAAAACAATGAACAAGCTCTAAGAATGTGCATTACGGGACAGTGGTAACAGGGTGGGAAAAAAAAGACATCTACTTTACAAGATGAACATTCTCATTAGTGTTCTTCATTCTCTATTCTGTTTCTATGTCATTTATTCTGCATGCTTAAAGAATAAAATATTACTGTGTGAGAATACAAACTGCTGAATTCATGCTTCCTCCAAGTCTTTTTCCACAATGGCTTGAAACCGAAACATGAACAATACTTTCAGTGAACAGACCAAGTCAATCTTCCTTAAAACTCATTGCTAGTGACTTCCAGGTCTACATCTGCTAAAAACCAGACATTTTTAGAAGTAACAAATCGCTATATGAATTGTAGGCGACTTTCTATTTAATGCTATTGTAAGACTTTTCTATATCTCAGGGTTTAGTTCCATAATGAAATTATCTATTAATCGACAGGAAGGAAAAATGGGCCAGACCTTTTCTTCTGAAAACCTGTTGCAGATTTACAATAATTAAAAAATGACTTTCTGAGAAACATGATGAAAGTAAGAAAAAACACACCAGGCTCAGTCTTTAGTAGAGGCTTTTATTGTTAGAAATACTCAAGTCGACACCAGTTTGTCAAATCAAGTCATGAGAAACCATCACAGGCCATGGGTGTAGTTCCTGTGACAGCCAACAATCGCTAAAAAAGATCAACAGCTCATTACCTTAAACAAATGTTATGTTGCTTTTTCACAGTGAAGGTTCCCTGTTGGGAAAGAAAACTGGACGGGAAGACTAGAGTTTTCAAAGCAAATCATTAGCACTGGACTTCATTCTTTTCAAAAGTTAAATTAAATTTTTAAAGTTAATTTATACCAGGACAAGAAGGAAGCAGAACACAAAGAATTAGCAAGAAATAAGACTCGCATTTGATTAACAATTCAGTTTAAGGCTACAATATCCTACAAACAGTATTTTCCACACAGTTGGGGCTGGCGGCCGCAGTCCATTTAGATGTGTAGTCGTTTGATTTCAAAGACATGGAATATCAGTATCAGCAAGTTGTAAAAAAATATTTTATCTTAGTTCAAACCGTTAAAGAAATAATCCTACATAGGTACAAGTTAGACAAGTACTTTAAAACTTTTATGATTCATAGTGTAGGACTGGGACTGAGTGTTTAACTGTGAATGAGATGGGTCCTAAGTTCACCTGAACTTTGAATATGGCTTCTAATACATTTAAATAGATGCCAGGTTTATATGTGCCTTACAATCCCTCTCTCTCTAACCTCAAACATGCAGACAATCTTCTGAGAATCACCATGTCGACATTCAATGACAGCCTTTGACTTCCAGACAACATACTGTATGTACACAGAGCAGCACTGTCTAATACACAAGAAGACTGCATAGTGCTGTATTTGCACCCCGGCAATACTGCTGGTACGTTAGCCTTCATATACTTCAGCAACCTGACAAAGTTCTTATTATGAAGGTACAATGCTCATCAGAACTGAAGATAAGGCACCAAAGTTGACCCCATTACAGAAGCGCTATGGTCAGACATGAAGTTAACAAAAAAACAGAGGTACTCCTAGGCTAAAGTCACCCTAGTTTTGCCTAACTGAGAAAAGAATAACATTTGATTTTACTCTAAACTTGACAGAAGAGGTTGTCTAACTCTCCCTGCCAATGTGCTGCTTAACCACCTTCCCCCTGCCAAATCCAGAACCTGGCAGGATTCTCTCACCTGAAAGCTGAGACTCAGCAGGAATCAATTTGATCACCTAAATGTCAAATCCTGATTCCAGTGGCCATCAGTGAAAAATCATTCAGTCCTCATGTTTGACAGACTGCAGGGAGTATGGGATTCAAAGAACCATTTTTCTTCAAGAAAATGGTAAAGATTAATTTCACCTTAATGCAATTTTTTCCCTAAACTTCAGCTGATTTAACAAGTTTCTGTATGGACAGGAATTACACCTTATAGTCAACTATTGCAGCCTCCACTTCTACATTGTCATCAATAACTTCAGCAAGTCCATTAGAGGATTTAAATAAGCAACTCCTGTGTGCTCTGTGCTTCAGACAGAGCCCTATCATAGTACCAGACTTGTGCATAGACATTACGCTAACAAATCCCACACCCTAGACACACGCTCTCAAACACCGAGAGACGGGTTCTCAAAGCATAGTTAAAAACTAAAAAACAAAATTCTCGAAGCCAAGCGTGTAAGACTAGCTTTGGTCCTTGACTGAGCTCCTCCAGCAGGAGAAAGGAAAGGCCCCTGCCCCTGCCTGAGGCCTCTCCCCTAGACAAGCGAAAAGGCCGGAGGAGCTCCCACATGCAGCTCTGCCTCTATTGCTCCTTCTGCCTCTTCAGGTAGCGAGCGCGCAGCCTCTTGTTCATGTTCATGGACACGTGGATCACCACCTGCACGGGCACCAGGCACGTGGTCACCCAGCCCTGAGGGAACCAGAACAAAAGACGTCAGAGCGGTGTCGCAGCCCCGGTTTGGAAGTCATTCTGTCATATGGGACTACTGGAAAATAAGTCACTCAAGCTACCTGAATGTGCACAGATTTGTAGGGTCTATACCTGGAGCGTGCAGGGTTGACGCTGTACTTAGTTTGCAGGATGCCAAACAGAGTGCAGTTCCATTTAAAGATCTTAAAAACGTCCTATGCAAATGGTATTGAAGATCACACCGCATCTCAAGTTCTAACTTTAATTCTGCTTTAAGCCATTTCTGGTATTGTACAGTTTTAGAGAATTATTTTCCTGTACTGTACACGTATAGATGTAAATCTAGGTTATATTGTGACAAGTGTAGAATTTCCCTCAATCATCACCAGGAGCAGGACTCTGAAAAAGGATGGATGGGTGGAAACAAGGAAAATGTTGAAACAAGGAATATGAAATTTAAGAAAAGAAATATGAAGTTACACATTGCAGTAATTAAAAGTATTCTTTGTGTACACCTTTTCTCATTACATTAAAGACATCGCACCCTCCACTTACTGGAGACCAAAAGAAAATTCTTCCTCGATGCATTAAGTTTTGTAGAAAAAGTAAATAGATTCTTAATATTGATTAAATGTTTTTGGCGTCATTTGGATTGATCGTTCATGAATGGTCATAATGCTCATGAGTAACTTTTGCAAAAGCACTAAATCACCTCTTTAGGAAGTCAATATGCACAGGTGATGAAGTAATTTAACCCGCTGAACGTCCAGCCTGCTGAAGTGCAAGAAAGGAGAAAAACACAAAGTGACCACTACTCTTCACTTATCAAGAGCACAACACCTTTGTGCCATTGTGCTGGAGGCAGGGCTAAGTTGACGCACTGTCACTTGCCATCTGGATTCTTCACAGCTAACAATTTCTAATCTGGCATGATGCTACACTATTTGGGAAAACATGAATCATAACACCAAGCCTGACATCATGCTCTATCATCCCGATCCTATTTGCACTGCCAGCATCTCTACTGCGCAAGAATCATTAAAGAGCCATCACGTGTGCGAGCAATTCACCTGTGAGGAGACAGCTCAACAGTCAGCTTGAAAACCAGACGACCACTCAGAAGCCCACTGCTTATGAATGTTCATCAGTGCATCGGTATGAGGTGGAGTGAGTAATATCACCAGACATGGCCTCTTTAGCAACGAATCAAGGTTTTACATTACACAAAATTGATGCACATCACTGAGCACGGCACAGATGTGTAGAACTATACTCTAGTTATGTACAAAAGACCAATCAATCGATGTGGTGGTCTAGGTGTAAAGGTGTGGTCAGGAGTGTTCAGCTGTTACAGAATTCCACATGTAGTGACCTGTGGCAGACTGTACAGCACTATGTTAATCAAAATCCCAGGATTTTACACAATGCCCATCAGGCGCATCCTGATGAGACAACATTCCAGCAAGATGACAAATCTTCAGGCTGCTCGAGTAATAAAATGGCTTGAAGGCCCCACTGAACATCTGTAGGATACGCTGGGACATCATGTGGTAACTCATGAGTCCCACCAGACAGCATGGAATCTAGAACAAAGCTTGTGACACAGATGTACAGCAAGTATTGCTTCTAACAGTGGTCCCACACACTACTACCCCAGAGTAACATTCACTCTTAACTCATTGTTGATCAACCGTGTTGTTGACAATCAGCGCAATGAGCTTAGCTATAGCACAACTGTTCAATATGTCAGTGCACCTGCTGCCAAAAAATCCTGGTAACTTCAATGTTTAAAATAATTGATAAAGAGTTGCAAAAAAAGGGTTATAGATTAAAATCAAATTAACAGATCACTAGGTAAAAAAAAAAGACAGGGAAACATGAAAAAGAGGAAGTGCATTAGATTCTGATAACAGGTGACTACCTATTAAAAAGGATTGAGGTTTTCTGAAAAAAGTATCAGCCATGTTAATTAAAACCGATTAAGCCATGGGATCTCTCAAGAAAGGACCGAGCAAGAAAGGGCTAGCAGCCAAATATCTGATCCCTCACTCATACATGTAACTGTGCTCGTGCACCATCTATCAAAGACAATGAACTCCACCCCCGACGTCCAACGAATTGGCCATGACAAAACTCATGGAATACGAATGAAAAAAGTAGCAATACAAATAGGAATTCTAGGGATTTGCAGAATCTCTGTGTAGCGGGCCTAATGTTTTAAAGCTTTAAATATGAGGACATGGCATTTTGACTTTTTACCAAAAGGCAACTTTTGAAGAAATAGGGAATGATTAGTGTAATCAGATGAAGAGAGGATTAAGTGTCGTTTCAAATGTGAAGAGAAAAACAGTAATTCAGAGTTCTGAACAGAAGAGGAACAAGTTTTGAAAAAGGGACCAGCACAAAGGCGGAGTTACTGGCCCATCAGCCAGACAGGGTTGTGACTGCAGTCTGCACCGCCTCCCCTCTCACCATCACTGCGTGAGGTAGATATCCATTGGTCTGGTCCTCCAGCCCCACTGTGTTCAGCTCAGCCCTGACGTAGGTCTCCGGACTGGGCTTGTCCAGGGTGGGCTTGCGGATCTTAGTCATCTTGGTGGCCACAAAGAAAGGCAACACGCTCTAGGTGTGAAGGAGAGAAAGACTGAACAATTAATCCACTATAAAAACAGTGTTGTCTTACAAGTTGGGGAAGGAATGAACTCCACTGTCCAAGTGAAAACTGCTATACTGTAGGTCCCGGGTGTGAGTGATAGGGAGATCTGAGCCCGTTCCTGTAAATGCAATTCCACATGCTGAGCTGGAGAACATTCAGGTTCCAAATATCTGGACGTTTTGCCGAGTGGATGGTACAGGCCACACCTCCATTTTTTTAAAGAAAACCCCTCATTTTTCAGCCTAGCACAACACATTTTATCACCCTTGATGAAGGCAGGAAATATCGGTGTGCTTTGGACACTATGAAATCAACAGTTTACACGCGTCCACATCCTGTAACATTAGTTACTGTAACAGTGGCCCTAGGCTGTGTACCACCAAGTCTTTAAGCCTGCAGTTTGGCTGCACAGAGCAAAAACTGTCCGGCATAAAGAGAACCTTGGACCCGTCTTTAAGCCTGCAGCATGTCAAAATGTCTGCTCTTACCTTCTGTATTAGGTTATGTTAACTGTTTAATGGTTTTTTGTACTTCACAGAAGTGCTGTTTGTTCAGTGATGTAAATATTTCTGCAGCAATACATTTCATTACATAACATGAGTGACTATGCAACACAACTTATTGCACTTGGTGAATGTTCTCTTTTACTGTGTGCAACAAACTTAAACGAGAAAATAAGTGAAACAGCCTGTAACATATGATACAGCAAAGACTGCATACCTTGATGGTACCGACGTTGATGTTACACATTCAAAGTCAGTACCGTCATCGCACTGGTCCAAACCAGAAAGACCGGTGCTTCCCCAGGTGACAAGAGTTTTACTAAAAAAAAAATACATTTCCAGACTACCAGCCACCAAGTTTTAAAAGGGAAACACTGAAGGTCAGACAATAAGAATTCTTATATCGTTCAAGATAGCCACATGGTGGGGCTATAACACAACTCAACAGAACACCCAGAGCTGCACTGAACTTCAGATACAAAGCGCAAGGCACACCCTGGAGCTTCTACTGGGGTATTTTTAACCAAGACCTCAACCAGTCTTTAGCACATTTATCAAAAATCCTTGTAGCCTTACCATTCCCTTCAATTCTGTTCAAAATTAATAGCTTTCCTTGATATATGTTTTCAATCCGATCCTTTACTAACTTATTTCACAGTGCACCAACAAAGAGATCTGCAATTAATTTTGCAGTCAACTGCAGCCTTTTCACCAGCTATAACCTCAGAACAATTTTGAATGATTACTAGAAGATAAATATTGTCCTGTCAAAAAACCAAACATTAGAATAGGTAGGAATGTGCCAGCTTTAAGCAGCTGAGCTTAGAAAGGCAGTGAATTTGTCTCCAAGAGCTACTTCAGCATTCGTCCCTCAAGACGGGAGAAGCGTGATGAAGCGGGCTGTGCCTTTAAGGCCGAGTGGCGTCACAGCCCTAGGTGTGTGTGTGTGTGTGCGCGTGGATGCTGTTGCTAGGCTGGTGGAGGGTTACCATGGGAACAATATACAATGAGAGAGGAGGATCGGGGCTCTTTACTGGTAGAGCAGCGCATTACCTGAACAATGATCCCCCGGCTCTTGTACTCCGCGTGCAGCCCCCGAGAGAAGAAATCCACAAAAGCCTGAACAGAGCAGGAGATGATGAGAACGTTAACTAAACGGACCGCAAGCAAACATTTTGGACTTCGGCTAACAGCCCAAAACAGCAGTACTGCATATTCAAATGAATAGCCCTCACTACTTGAAACAAGCTGGTTCTTTTCAGTTTTTAACCCTCTTTTCATAAAGAGGACCAGGAACTAATTTCCTCCACACGAACACATTACTATAGCACACGCAGGTACTGTGGAAGCGCTGCAAACTCTGTACACCACCACAGTGGACAGGCTTTGCATCACAGTGAACACAGTATACAAGGCTGAAAAGTGTTTCATACTACTGTAAAAGAGCACATGTAACTAATCCATGTCCTGCGAGGTCAGATTTATAGCATTTATAAAGCCAATAAGATGTAATGTATTTCAACGGCTGCATCTCTCACAGAATGATGCAATGCTAAAACAAGCATCCAGGATACAGATGATCTGGAACATGTTCAGCTTGACAGCAATACAGCACACCTACAACAGTCACAAACTTTTTTCTGTAAATTGCAAGACCCATGTCTCCATTTGTGCTTTACCAGCTGGGCCTTTAATTTTATCCAGTGCTCCAAAATTCCCTGACATGAAAATCATTTCAATCATGAAGACTGCTGAATCAAAATGTCCACTGCACTGTGTGCCATGTGGGGCCAGTAGGCAGATATTTATGCCATGGGCACGAAAGCACAGGGGGTATATACTGGGTTACTCCACTGCTTTTCCTGGGTGACTCAACAAGCCTGTGCCCCTCCAAGGTCAACGCACTCATTGGAATCATCTGCCGCCTTCAGCTATTGGAGACATGGGACCAAGGGGAAGAGCACAGCCAAGAGCAGTGCCCAGCTCAAGGTCCAGAGAGGATCAAGCTGAAGGAAAGGGAACCTACCTTGGTGGCAGAGTAGAGCGTGAGCAAGGGGATAGGGTACATGCCACTGGCTGAGGAGATGTTCAAGATCACACCCTTTGACCTGGAAAACAACATGTACATTAATGAGCCGCCCTGGCCCAGAAGCAGGCAGACGGTTGCGTCGCGGGCGAGATTATTTAAAAAATTGCAAATTAAAAAGAAAGCAAAGCATGCATTCAACAACTGCCCACACAGAGACTGATGACCAGGTTCCCTGCGTGTAAATGCCACCAAAGCAACAAGACCAAGTTCTAAACGGAGAGTTTGGGACTGAAATGCACGAACAGCTGTACACCGAAAAAATCTGGAAAAGTAAACAACTTTCATCTGTCCATTTCCTAACCACTTTTTCCTGTTGAGGGTCATGGGGAGATGGAGTCTACCAAGCAGCAGGTACAAGGCAGGGTACACCCTGGACAGGACGTCAGTCTACTGTGGGGCACACAGACTTGGACACGATGTTCGTAAACTCACACCGAGAGGAGGAGAACATAAAACCCGGAAACTGAACTGTGAGGCAGCAATGTTCACCACTGAGCCACCATACCACCGACAATGTGGGATTTTCCCTTTCAAAAATGAAATATTGTATAAGAAAAGATTGTGTATCCAGACAAGCCTCTCTCATTCAGTTTCGAGAATGCATGCATGCTAGCACATTACTTAAACAAAATGTCACTAATTCCAAGAGGATGACCAGTCGTTGACTGAATAACTCTACTGAAGCAGTGCTTAACCGAGTACAAAGGGGAGGGCAGAAAGGTTTTCATTCAAGAAAAGTCTGTTGAGAATTACCCTATCCAGCTGTAAAAAAAAAGATTCAATCCAACTTTTTCTCATCTATTGAGGTCATCCAAGAACCCAAAAGTCATAACTGGGGTTAAAGTTTAGCATCCTTTTCTAGTGAAAGATGGTGTCTGGGACAATAGAAGTGCTTGTTATCCATTGTAACACTGGCCATCTACTTTAAGAGTGTGATTTAGCTTTAATCTTTGCACCTGACTATCTCCAACAAAGGAAAACAAAAGAAAACCCACCACAAAGGTCTGAAATTCAAAAGATGAAGTTTGCTTCTCTGGCACCCATGAACGATGAAGTCTTGCTCAATGTGACGCACAGATTTAGAATATTCAGCTGTCTGAAAGAATCCCTTTCAAGCAGTGATGACAGGCACACGCGGCTCCAAGCTGGCACGCACACACCCACCCACGCTGACACACAGCAGCACAGCATGCTCTATTCATTGCAGCTACCTTCTGTGTTACTATGGCAACCGCTTCCCCGTGCACGACCTACAGAATATGGTTCTGAGGCATCAGATATCTGTTAGAGCATAGAGACAGAGAGAGAGGGACAGAAACAAAGAGATCCCTCTCTCATCAGTCCAGTGAACCAATTACATTGGTGAGAACAATCTATTTATAGTGTTCCAATCAGATACCACTTTGCTTTCGGTGTCTCCGTCGTGTGGAACTTTGGAGAGCCCAGCATTCTGACTAGGCGATCTCAAAGGGATCTTTATAATAGGCAATAATTGAGCGAGCTCAAATTGCAGCCAAGAGTGAATATTACCTAGAGCAGCAGTATGGGTCTGCCTCAAAAGCATTACTGCAACAAGTTCTGTTGCTATGTTATTTTAGTTATTAAACACCACAATGTTGAAATTAGAAAGTCACTTAGTTTTGCCATTTAAGGAACTTAAAGAACTGAAGTTTTCTTGGTAACTCCCTGGGTTCAAGACAATCAAATTCCTTTAGCTTTAATATAAGAAAATTTAGTACAAATTGCCTTAATCTCAAGCCATTTGTGAGGTGAGGGACAGAATTTATGCAATAACAGTTTCTTGCTTTGAAATTCAATATGTTAGGAATTTGTTGTTTAACAGTCACTTTAAAAAATTCCAAAAGGATTCCCTCAAGTGTGCTGTGACAAAAGGTACATCACAGGGAACGCGTCTCCACAACAGAAATGTTTTTATATGTGCATGATCTGTAATTTCTTTCACATCTTCCATGTCTTCCCCTGCACCAGAGTGGCTGAAATGAATACACAAATCTCTTGGGCTAGGCACACTAGCTCATAGCATTGAAAGAATGACACAGGGAGTGCACAGACACTGATTCACAAGAAGGTGAAAAAGAGTTTGAGATATTTGCATCTACCTGCTGCTGAAAGCTTATCAGGAAGAGCTACTGACTGTGCCGAAGAGGTCCAACGTCCACATTCCAGTACATTTGCAACCCTTAACCAGGGATCAACTGCCCAAGATGAGCCCTATCCTGAGGAACCCCATTGGGGAAACTAGTGGACTAATTTAATAAAAACCAGGAATGATTGCAATCATTCCTATACATCTTCTATGGTTATCCTAGCTTCCCAAGGAAAACGTTACTCTACAGTAGCAAACGGGGAAAAAAAAAAACTTAGTGTCCTAATTTTTTTAAGATGACAATTGGATTGAACAAAACACCTAGAGGACCTGTAGCTCATTCTAGATATCTTAATTTTACAGAACCTAAACGCTTTGAAATAAAATAGTGGCCACTGTGATTACATTGTAATTAGTAGCAAACCTACAGCACATCTGTTTTTCTACATATGCAGTGCAGTCCACAGAGCTTTTGGCAGTTATCATTTGTACACGGAAAAAGCCATTGATCTGCCAGTGAAAGCACCCAGGAGCACATCACTTCATCTACAGCCACGCACACTGCGCCTGCTCAGCACACGTCTCTAGGTGGCCTTCCCTTGATCTGTGTACTGCTGACACACCCATCACCCAGGGCTGACCAGTCAGCAGGTTTTCCAGCCCATGCTCTGCAAGAACAGGGCAGCCCCCATCATCACGGACCTCCTTGGGAGAGGATGGCAGAAAGAGGACGATATGGGTAGAATCCCCCCCCCAACCCCCACCGACCCCCTTCTTCGGCCGAGCGTTAGTCTCCACGATTCAACGACAATTTTCTTAATTCCGTTACATAAGAGCCTGCAAGCAGCACAGGCAAGGGGAACCTGTGCAAGGGATGATTCAGCCGCCAGTCAAAGGCATTCCCACCTCTCTTCTGTATGGCATGCTCTCTCTCTCATACACAGTGTTAGTCATAGGGGCTCGACCAGGATCTCCCTCCCTCCCTCGCAGTGCAGGAAAGCACCCCTCACGCTCTCTGGTAGGAGTGCCACCTTATAATACACACACAAGGATGACTCATGAGATCGACGGCGTGATACCGCCGAGTAAAAAAATTGCACCAAAAACACTGGTAAGTCGCTGGCAGCATTTTAAAAACTGCAAAAGCATGCATCATTTCTGAAGGGTGGTCAGGACATGCCCTTCTACACTTTCTATAAAGCCTTTAAACTTAAGTATTTCCCTTTTTTAAGAAGGCAGGGCTACCTGCTAATTACCACATGGCTCTTTGTCAGAGTATATCCTGATATTTAGTGTTGTACAATCCACTGCTATACTGTACACAATTTATTGAAGAAAAATGTGCATTTACAGTTTCAGATCCTATAGTTATCACATTTTCAATCCTAACAATAGGTTTCTCTACACAATCCTTTAGGAAATGCCAGGACTTTACCCTTCACAATCAGCTGCACTGTATACTGTACATCCTGAGGACTGACTGACTTCAATGTGCAACATCGAGCAGCTCTTGAGTGGGGGCAGTATGGGGGGCTTTCACCCATAAAGGACACTTTCAACCTTTTATATTCACACCAGTAAGGCAGACTGAAATTAAATTTATTATTGAAAGGGGTTTTCAGCATTAAAACACTAAAAGCTCTGTCAGTGAGAAACCAAAAAAATGCATACATAATGCATTAGAAACAAATAGAAGAACAGAGTTAAACTGTGCTTTAGCCCATTTCAAACAAGGATGAATTTCTTTACTGGTGCTCAGAAGCCTTTTCATAAGGGGACTTTGTCTAATGCCTCACCCCAAGAAGCTCCACATGAAAAAATAAAGCTCTACACTCAGGGCCCACCTGTTTTAAGTTTTTTCTGACCGTTCCAATGCAAGGAGTATCAGGCCTTGTACCTTAAGGTTTCTCCACTGCGCACGTTAACACCTCATCCGTCGGGTGATCAGAGGACTGGCTGCACTGGAAGCCCCCCTCGTTGGCTTTCCCTTTCGGTTTTGTTGTTTCTTGTTTTCCTTGTTCGGCTTGTTTTTTTTTTCTTCCCCCAGGAGGCCCAAGGGGGGTTTTTGGCCTTCCGGACCGGCGTTGCACGTTTTGGCGTTTTCTTGTTCTTTTCTTGTTTTCCGGCGTTGTTGGTTTTTTTTTAAACTGTTCTTTATTCTGCGGACAGTTCTGTTCGAGAATGTGCTTGAAATTGTTCATGAATCTCCATTAAACAAATACAAGTGTTGTTCCAGTATTCTGGGGGTGATTGCTAATGCCTTCTACCTTACTGTAATTTATATTTTATACATCATAGCATGAGGTTCTGTCAACCCTGTTTCCAAGCCAAAATCATTGTTAGGCATCTTGTAGTATAATGACCTCCCCCTTATGGGTTCTATCCTGACGACCCCCTCAGGAGCCCCTGAAGTCCAGGATAGACAGGGTATGTCTGTCATTCTTGACTACAAAGGTAACAAAATCCCAGGTCTGGCTGAGACGTGATTTCCAAAGCTCTGATACTGCAAGACATCTTGTTAATGTCTACCATAATTCCACCAGTGGAGGTGGTCGATTCAACCAGTGAAGACCATGCTGCAGCAGGCTTTATTACAGCAGTCTTGAACTGATGCCATGTGGACGATGAACTGAAATACTGTATAACCTTGATCATGTCAACAAATCAATGAGATGGGGGTGTCCAGAGATTGCTTGAACTTTTCATTTCAAACCAGCTGGTTTAAGTTCTTCCTCAAGAAAGCTGTGCTGGGTTGAGTGCACACAGGATGTGATTCCAAAATCTGAATAAAGACCGGAAGAAAGCTCCACTGACTCATCTGCATATGGCTGCAAACCCTGCCGCACACCTGCAGGCCCCTGCTGGGCTGGACAAGGTCTCAGTCCACCTGCCGGCACATGGAACGTAGTGCCCGTGGAAGCTGCCTCATTGTCAGTTCCGCACCTTCTGGAGCAGGGCACCCCCATGCAGAAGACTGTCTGGCCCTCTGAACAGGGTCTGTCTGTCTGAAGAACTGGGTTTTTCCTTTTGGAGTGCCAGGGCCAGCCCTAAACACCAGGCGCACATATAAGTGTGAGCTTGACCCATGCCCCCCAATTTGCATTTTCCTGGAGACCTTTCTGCGGATGGCAAGTTGCCTTCTGCACGTAAGGTTTACTTAACTATTTCCATTTGTCATGGCAAGTGTCTCTTCAGTGGCCTGGCCTCCTGCCACACATGTCCAGGCTTAAATAAGCCGCCGTTGTTGTGCTGTCCATCTGGACCAACATGTCTGCCCTGATCCTGAAGATGTTCTTGGAACCACTGAAGAGTTGACAGTAAAGCACTGGGACGGCATATACCTATAAGCTGGACCTTAAAGTACATATCCCCTCATGCTCCAGCCATTCCACATGACTCCCTACCGTAAGTTAGTCAACTGCTTGTCACCCTCTCCTGGTAATGGAGCCCATTGAAAACCAAAAACCTGTAACAACTACATTTCTTGAATGGCAGCAGTGTTGGGTGACCAATTTGATGGGCTTCTGGGGAAACTGACACTGATAAAAAAATGGTCTGTTTCAGTTGAGTGGACAAATCTAGAAAGGTAAAAATCTTCAGAGCCAGTGAACATGATTTTCCAAAAGATCATACAAACTTAAGCACAGACCTCAAAATTGTGATGTACAGAAACTGACTGAATCCTTCGACAAGACTTTCAGCCATGAACCAGTCTTATTTTGCACAAAAACTCCCAGATGGAGAGGAGGTTGCAACCTGAATCCTGCAGTTCTATAATCAAGGTATGTGTCAGGAAGAGCATCTCACCTTTCGACCATACCCGGGAGCACCAGCCTCGTCATCTGGGGGAAGAAAGCAAAACAGGTTTAGACAAGTGCTAATGGACACCATGCACAACAATCTCACTGCGTCGCAGAAAATAGGAGAATATGCTTGAATATTATACCTGCCTTTTTCCTGCTATTTAAGTTCCAATCAGTCAGCTGTATAAGCAGTATTCTGAGAGATGAATTGCACTTTTTGTTTTCGTGGAAATTAGGAAAACTTTTTTTCAGGTAAGGCACCAGAGAGCTCAAGAAATATGTATGAGAGTCTGTATTGGTGGCATTTTCGATATGCCTGTTAACACTTTCTGTACAAAAGGGTTGCAAGATTAATTTGGAACGGATCCCCCTCACACAGTTACTTTGGTCTGTAAAAAACACTGAAGCCAAAAAGTTTAAATCTTGAACTTGAAAATTCTCCCTTGTGTGGGGATTGTACATCTACAAACTTGACTCAGCGTTTCCAAATAATTCCCAGCACCACAAAGAAATACAATGGGATGCTTCTGAACTCATCAGTGGCAGATGGCAATTTTCTTAATTTCTTGCCAATGATATATGAGATCATTGATGACAGTCTTCATCAGAATTAAAAAGCGGGAATAAAATTAACTTCTCACATGAGCAGCAAATAAAAAATTAAATGCCAAAGCATTTCTATCAAGTTGAGCTTCATATAATCTGGGAACCAGAAACTAACAGCCAATAAGAACTGTGGACTTCTCAGGCTTTGCAGCAAAGTGAACCTGGCACCTTCTCATTTTGAAATGAAAATAGCCCAAATATATGGCTTGCTTCAGCTAAAAATAATTGTCATGCACACTGGAACTGTCCTGCATAAGAAGTCCAAGCAGACATGAAGGCATCACTAACAGGACATCTGACATCCAGCAAGACCCCACGGGAGCTCATAAAGTTGAACACCACTGGCTAAACGCGTGAGGCTTTCCCATTTAGGCATTTAAGGTACTTAATAGTGGCATTTTTGAAGATGGCCCTGTGCTTTAAAGAAAACAAGGAATAAATAAATTGGGGAAAAATGTGATCATTAAGTAGTGAGCTTCACTCCCACACCACTAAAATGATAAAAATGGTCTCCCCAGTCATCTAACTACAGTACCTCGACCTCACATTATGTCACACAGTTGTCACCATCCACCCATCTGCTATCAAAGAGCCGTTGGATCCTGACAGGTGTTGTGGCAAACTAAAGAAATTCCCGAGTCCAGATGGGAGCATGGGGGCACAAAGCACAGCCGCTCTCCCCCTTAGATGGGACACCATGGATACAGAGAAAGGAATTCTACGGAACAGATGACTAAACCTAGACGGCTCTTCTTCGGAAGGCAGGAGGAAACTGGAGCATCCAGCAAAACCCTACCAGAACAAGCAGAACATGCAAACTCCACAGTAACCAGGCCCAGACCAACACCCGGAGTCACAAAGCACCAGCACCTATGGCCATGCTATTGGGCAGCCTACACTAACAAGTCAAAACCTTGTCCAGCTCTGATGCATCCAAATACATCACTACAACCCCGTCTCCAAGCCTCTAATGCCAGACTCCTTCACACACTCCTCAACTGCCAACACCTGCAAGGAGAAGAGTCCCTCTCTGCAGTCTGACAAATGAATGCTGTCATTATAAGAAGCTGAAGAAATCCATGAATTAAATTTAGGAGGTGGCAGGGAGCGAGGCAGGACAGTGCTGGCCGGTCTTTCTTCGTTATAAAGTTTGAAGAACTGCAGGTGTTGGAGCACAGAGGAGTGGGCGGACTTGTGGACAAGAGGGGAGAGGGAAAAAGAGGAATGGAGAGCGAGAGCAGGAGTGAGAGGGACTGCGTGGGTGGCAAAGAACAGACAGCGTGGGTGTAGTTCACTGTTGCTCTGGGAACCACAGGAACTGCAGGTACAATAGCAAGTGCGGGGGAGGGGGAGCGGAGACGCCCACCTCCCTCTCCGTGTCCGTGTGCTCGCTCCGGCGCACAGCCGGGCTCGCGTGCGCAAAGCACAACCCGCCCCCAACTTCCCAGCACAAATTCTCCCCACGAGCCAGCGGCACGCGGCACCAGCCAGCAAGAGAGAATCAGCACTGCAACACGTTGGCAAACAAAGGTGCCCGTATCCGAAAATCAGCCACAGCACCGAGCCATAACAGATTCCAGGAGCTCAGGTGACTGCTGAAAGGGCTCTCAGTGAGGGATGGCTCGTTACACAGGGTGTCAGAGCTTATTGTCCAGTCAAAGATCTGGCAGGACGACCACAAAAGGCGTTAGGAAAGTTTCACCAGGCGCTTATCCCCTCCCCTGCCATTATTAGAGATTAGTGGGTGGACACACGCAAAGAACAATAAAAGCTATTGATGATGCTCTGCCATTAACAGTTGATTTCCACCCGAGCCCATAACTCCAACAATATTCTGGGATGGGATGGTAGAGCTTAAAAGAAAAAACTGAATGCTATGGGTGCAAGTCCCATTGGTGGACCTGTAGGTGGCACTATTTCGTCTGGACCAGAAATTCCAAATCGTTGCCATGATCTGGAGATCAGGGACACATTGCGGTGTGCCGTGCTGTCCTTCGGATTTCAAGAAAGCCCAGGACACATTAATATCACGGGCAGGTACCTGGCTAAAGTCACGCCGGGCCCGTACAATCTGGCCTACCCAAAGACCCCCTTAATTCAGCAGGTGAAAATTTCTCCCTTCTCTGCCGTATCGGCCGTCATGCATCACCCAGGCGGGTGCCGTATGTCAGCAGGGCTTCTCCTATTGGCACAGCACCTCATTCTTAGGGACAAAAAGCAATATATAAATGCAACAAATTATCAATTTTACTATTATCCATTCAGTTAAGGTCCCCAACCTTTAAGGAGAAGAGACCCTTGAAAGTGTTAGAATTTGACAGTGATGTCAGTTCAGGATTTAATGAAGTAAAGTTGGAATGAGAGACCAGGGCTGGGAATCCCCATCACAGAACACATCACACTTGGAACAGCATCCCATCCAAGAGAACAGAAGTTCATTTTCAATACGGAGCCTTCATCAGTACAATACTATTATGTATGTGGAACTTCCTCTACATTTCTAAAAAAAAATAAAGGGGGGACAAATGTTTTGAGCAACTGCAAATAAAAATGCAGCGTATTACCTGGCAAACAGACGTAATATTGACGTTAATCATTTTGTTGATGACCTGAAAAACACAATGAAACCAACAGTTTATGAATTTATATTTAGAGCAACCACCACAAAGACCACATGAAAAACAGGTGATGACAATTCTTTTCATTAACTGAACTTTTAATCTTAACTCCAAGCAGTCAGAGATTCGAGTAACACCAAAATATCACAGATTCAGATAACTTTCCTAGGTGGTTGAGGACATGCTTTTCCTCTGAAGATCAGTGAAGCATTTAATCAGCAGTCATTTGATATTGTATAAGAAAATCAGAATAATAGGAATAAATACAGGAAAACAGAAATAGCCTTTTCTTACAAAATCGAGACTGCTTTTTTTTTTACATGAATGCAGATGAAGTCAAAGTTGTACCACTGTATTGGGAATTTGCAGACGGTCCTTTTAAACTTTAAAAAACACACATTGTCCAAAGCAGTATATTTTTGTATTTTTACCACAGAACCCATTACAAATAATTTCTTAAACTTTGTATGAATCCCACCCTCACCCCCTCAGCTCATTGCTGGTTGTTCTGAAACAAAAGCAGGCGGAATGATTTTATAAGGTCTGATCGTCAGCATAAAAAATTAAAGGATGGATGAGCACTGCTCTGAAACCTGCATCTTGACATTTTAAGCAAATTATTTAGTTTTGAAGTAGGAAAACAAATAGAGTACTTACATTTTCTGCATCAGGGATGTTGAGGAAGAATTCAGGATAAGTGTAGGAAACGCCCACATTATTTACTGCCCAAGAGAGAGAAAAGCAAGTTAATCCTATAATTGCACATTAAGTCATGCCAAGCTATGGCAGCTCCTAAGGCAACTCTGGTCCTGAAGAGCAATGATCTAGTGTTTCTTACACATCTCCCTAAATCTCTTTTCAGAAGGACGGGAACATCAAGAATTTGTTCTGCTAGACAGGTAACTCCCACCCTTGGGTGCAGCTGGTTCTATGATAAGCGGATTGAAATTGTTGGGTGTTTGCTTGGGGAAGGATAACGGTAAGAAGGTCTACTTTTAGGGGGGTATAAAGATAAGCATCTAATTTTGAAAGACACTGATGAACGTTTTAGAATTTTTATTCCTCACATTTTTTGCAATAACTTTCTGGTATAGAAAGAATGGATTCTTATGGACTCTTATGGGTGACAGCAGAAAAAATGCAGTGTGCATGAATATAAGTGTAGTACAGGAATCTCTAGATTGTCACTAGTGGACTACTAAGCAGTGCGTAGTGTTGAAAGATTTACGATTACCTAAAATAGTTAGATTGTCAACATCCTTGTTTAATGAAATTTTTTAATGACTTATACTTTCAAAACCTAAAGGTCGGCGCTGACAAGTTCTGTATTAGCCGTCAGTAAATGACCCCTTCCAAAAATATTGAGAAACGTAGACTCCTTTTTTAACCACAAGATGGCACCCGTGCATTAAGTATGAAATCGCCACCCTCCCTTTGCCTATACCAAGACTAGTTTTCATAGAGGGAAACCACACCTAAGCAGCAAAGAATAAGCATTTTAATGTTTTTACACTGTTTTACAATTAATATGCAAAAGAAAAAGAATTCAATAAAGATCGGTTTTCATTGTATCTCCTTTTGTAACAAAGCACGTAGTTAATTACAGAAGGCTTAGCTATCCCTGATACAGACAGAGACCCCATCACATTAGTCTTAAATTGAAAGAATTAAATTTTTACAAAAAAAGTTGAAAGCAGGAGCTATTTATTCCATTTTAAGACGGGCTTCTTAAAAAAATTGTCACCTGGTGTGAAACAGACAGCAAACCATTAACCACCTTAATAAAAAATAATGCTTGCTGTATTTGAATATTTACATGCTGCAAAAAACACCTTCCAACTTCTGCCAATGACAAGTACTGCAATGAAAATGCCGTCGGTCCGGGTGATTGTAATTGTGTCCTCCTCAGAAATCTAATCATACAAGTTTCATGTTACTCCACACAATGTTTTGAGTTTTAATTTCCACATTGTGCTACCATTTTAATACATTGAGATCAAGAGCATGTTCTTCATTACCAATGGGCATCAGATCAATTGAGGACACAGATTAGATACTATTGTACATTTCGAAAACATATAGTATTTACAGTAAATATATTCAGCTGATAAGTCATAAAAGATCATGCATCAATATAGAAATTAATGAGAAAGATTAATATTTACTGTATAAAACTATTTCACTCTTCATTTTTTACTATCTGCCCATTGTCCATTTCCCCACACACGTGAGGTAATGAAATGGTCTCTGAATCATTTTGCACAATGAGGAGTCTTACTCACCCAACACCCCGATGTCCAAACCAGTCAGACCCAGCTCAATCTTGCGGTAAATCTCACGTCCTTCCCCAAAATCCACAGCGATTGTTTTTGTCTCAACGCCGAATTGGCTTTCTGAGAAAACCATAAAAGCAAAAGGGTGTAAGCACTCAGAAAGTCAACTGATCTTGGCGACCTGGCCTGATGTCTAACATTTCCTCCCTGAGAAAGTACAACTGAATGGTCTGTTAACCAGTCAATTGTAGCCTACAGTTTTGATATGGTTTAAAGTAGCATTAAAAAAAAATAGATCTTGTTCTAGTTCTTGTTCTAAAAGATTCATGGTAAAGACAAGGAGAAGCCTTTCAAAACAAATGATAGTCAATTGAGGTAGCTCCCAGGGAGTTAATCTGTTCTACATATACTGTATATAACTTGATGGGCTCAATACAAAATAAAAATAAGACAACAGTGGAGACAAAAACTGAGACTCTAAGGACTTTACTATTTGTCAACTTTCAGCGTCTTGACATGTTGTGGACAGCTCTATTTGGTCACATCTGTAAGGATCATTAAGGCACCGGCGGCCTATACTAACCCATGCTTACTGGGTTATTAGTCTTCGTTTTGCAGTAAAAAAACACCCTCTGTACCCAGATAGCAATTCTGAGAATAGTTCATATACAAGTTTGCCCTTTGACAACACACCTTCAGGACAAAGGAGAAAACAAAACAGATTTTATTATTCATTGATTAACGTAGAATTGGGTAAAAAAATAAAACTGGAATATCCCTAACTGTTATTACTGCATGGGAAGGACGTCTGCAGCTCAGAAGGTGAACTGTTCCACCAATGTCCCTCACTTAAGAAAAGAGGTTGCACTGCTTGTGTGACACAAAAAGGGACCAGTTCTGTAATGTTTTGCAGTTAAAGCAGGTTCCTTTCACTAATTACAGGAAAATGTGATCATTAAAAATCTTCCCAACGTGTGCAGCAGTTACAGATGAAATTGTTTTTAGTTCGATCGGGAAATCTAAAAGAGGCTGGTGTGCACACTACAAACATTGTGGTCCTGCAGTCTAGCGACTGTTTGGCCTCATAGGAGATTGTGCATGTAGAACAGCAGAAAGCCAGTTGAACATGGGGCAAGTGATCCTCAAACCAGGGGGTATATGATACTGCTCTGGTTTTGAGCAGTGCCACTGGAGTGAATGCAGGCAAGCCTCCAGTAGATGGCAGTGTTTCACACAAACACTGTCCAGACCCGTCAGCGTGCTGTCTGGAATTACAATTTTTAGAAGCCTTGTGTCTTAATGATACTGCATGAACTGGGAGCATTTCTCAGTTCTACAAATGAGGATTCAACAGACTTCTGTTGGTGGGGAAAAAAAAGGGTTGTCTATTACTATTATTACCCATTCCCTAATTTGGGCTATACATTTGGAAAAGGAGAAATGCTGCACACCCATCAGTTTTGTAAGGTATAAAACCAACACTAACCCATTACAGAGATTGCTTTCCTACATAACCATGACTGATCTGTTTATTAAAGTAACGCATAAACTCTTTGCTGTACCCTCAAGATTGGTGACTAAACAGAGACTCAAAATAAAAAGCAAAGTGAAGATGCCCATATGGGGACAAAGTCACTATACTAAAATACATGTGGAAGCCATTAGCTCCTTCAATATTCAAATCACATCGATGGGCCTGAAAAAAGATTGATTCATTGACTGATGAAATGCTGGGGGCAGTCTGACCAATAGTTTAATAAGGAAACGTAACATTTCACTCAGGGAGGAAAGGAAATTGCTTCATGTGCAACTGTTATGATGTACATGAACCTGCAACAAAATGGTACTTGGATGATGCTAAACCTTGATACAAAATTACCTATATTGACCAGCAGGGGGGGCTGGTTTGTGCCACAAAAATGCCTTATGACTAGACCATTACGTCCATGTGCAACTTTCCAATATGTAGGTCCAGAGCAAAGACCTGTGAACAGAACATGGATTCTGGCTACACACAACAGCACACATACAGTACTGAGACATGAGGCTGGAGGACTACAGGCTCAACTTTTTAATGCCAGAAATGACTGGACTGACTAGTGGGTAGCAGCACCATGATGGCTCATGCCTCTGTATGTCACAGTGGACTAACACCAGCAGCTCATCAGAATCTGAGGTTATACAATGCTTTAAAAGGAGAACGAAAAATGGAGAGAAAAAAACTTGCAGATTAATATGACTTTGGAACCTCTGAGTAAGCATGTGATATTTTGTGGGTCATCAGACTAAGGAACAAACAGGTCTGCAGTTTTAATAATGACACATGCATGAAACCCTACAGACCTGGGATATATTACACAGGAAAAAGAGCCATTTTCAAAGGGGACATATGGATAAGAAACTCATTACAACTGCAGCTTCCTGCTCTTGAATATGCTGACACTGTCCACTCCACTGCATCTCCGACATGTCTCAATAAATTAGACTCGGTTTATTGTGGAGATTTGTCTTGCAGTGCAATTATAAACCTTGTCACTGTCATGGGAGTAATAGTTTGAGATGGCTTGGTTCCTGTGACAGGGGACGGTTTTATGGAAAGCTTCTTAATTGTATCGACTTGCACAGTCCTCTCTCCTTGAAAACAAAACTTGTTGAAATAATTACAAAATAATACCATAGGAAGTTACATATGAGAAGCAGCCATTCGGAAACATCCAGCCTGTTTGGTAGTTAACGGATAACTTATCCAAGGATCTTATCCAGATATTTCTTAAAAGATGCCAGGGTACTGGCTTAAGTGATTTAGCTAGGGAATTTGTTCGATAAACCTTTACGTTAAGTGCATTTTGTTCTCAGTTACAAACGCACAAAGAAACAAGGAAGAAGCCAGTGACTGAACCTGATTCACACCATTTCCAACCAACCTAGCATGCCCGTTTTCTACACAACTGGTCCATCTCTCAGCTATTAGCATTTTATTAACATTTGACCACACAGCTTCCAGGTTTCCTTATTTAAAGTAAACTGAGGGGGGGGGGAAAGGAGGAAGCACAGACTACAAATTAAATCCCTCATCAGCTGTAATTACAGAAGCTCCCTGGATCCTAGCATAGATTAAAAGTGGCCTGTAGTTATCCACAGAATGCAGCAACAACGTATAAAGGACTACTTCCTGTTCATACAAGAGACACTGAAGGCAGAAGGAAAATCCCATTCATGGCAAAGCGATCCAGAAGCTTCTTTCCCAGCAGCCCCTGCTCCATTGAGGAAACCGAGCGCCGCAGCCCCTTCCCACTGTGCCCATTCAGCCAGACTGCTGGAGCCAGCAGGGAGCGCGGTGCTCCTGACAAAGCGAGGCAGAGGGGGAGAGAATGACAACCGGGAAAGCGGAGGTAAATGGAAGGAGAAGGCTGAGGGGAGGTAGCTGCGTACAAAAAAAAGGGAGGGGGGGGCGTAAATGTCACAGGCGGAGAGAAAAAAAAAGCGAGTCGTGCAAACACGGCCATCTCAGCGCATCACCTTGCCTTCTCCCGCTCCGGGCGAGCGCGCCCCTCGAGGGAAAGGCCTCCGACACCGAACCCCCAGCGAGGGAGCGAGCCGAGATCCTCCTCTTACCAAAGTCTTTCCATGACGATCAAGCCGTCGGAGGGATTCTGAGCTTCTATGCGGGGGGGGGGGATTGGCACGAACAAATCACTGGCTCAAAGCACAGTGTACCGTGCCTGAGCACATGTAGTCCTCATGGCGATCGACAACACTTTCATGCCATTTAAGGATGCACTCGTACCAACACTATGATTTAAAACCCACTAGATTTTAAGGGCTGGAATCACAAACACATCAGCGGGCAGCTGTGAAGGAGGAGAGCATAGCTTTGCAGTTTGCAAACAGGCAATGGCAGGACTGGAAATCTGGTAATCAGTCAAAGGATTCTCTTAATATTGCAGTTTCAGGAGTTCTCAGCAAAATTGTTTGATACCTGAAATGGGCACAATCCTACTAAAACATTAATTGCACCATAAAATCAAATAAACAGCAGCAGATTGTAATTCGAACACTTTTCAAGGACAACAGTCCAATGTGATGAATAATGTGCCGTGATGTTTTCAGACTGATAAACACACTGTCATTTCATATTGTGCCGACAAAATGTAAAATAGGCAGATTTTCCAAAATCGAATTCCTGCAAAATGTGTCGATTTTAACAGCAATTCCAAATTTTAAAGTTGGGGAAAAAGAGCAGTCGATTCCATCTGGAAGTTTACATATCAACAGGGCTGTCTGTTTTCAAGTGCCTGGAAACTGGTCATTGTGATTGTTTACAGAGTGCAGTTAAATGGGTGTAGGAAAACAATATGTAGTCAAAATGGCTTGAAGTTTGTTCCTAGCAGGAACCTGAAAAGAGAAAGATACCAAGCCTTTCAAGCACTGTGGCATTAGGGCTAAGTGTACAGTATGTCTTGGCTGTGACAGGTCTGGGCACTCTGTCTCTTAAGGACCCAGCAGCCCATACAGACAGATCCTCAGACACCTGCTTTGATCAAGCAGTAATTTAGTGGCCTGGGTGATTCACCAATGCTTGCTTCCTTCACTAATTTCATGAGTGGGCCAGCTATGCACTGAAACCCTTAAGATAAGATCAGTTTATTGGCCGTATACAATTTCTTGTTTTAGGAATTTGTCTTTCCACATACCCCAACTTGCTCTCCATGAGGCACACCGACAGAGAGAAGCTTGGGGTCCGAGCGCAGGGTCATCCATTGTACAGCGCCTCTGGAGCAGTTGGGGTTAAGGGCCTTACTCAGGGGCCCAACGGAGTAAGATTCCTCTGCTGGCCACTGGATACGAACCAACAACCTTCCAGCCACAGGCGCAGATCCTGAGCCACAGAGCACCGCCCCGCCCCTAACCTATGGCCAGGCAAGCAGCAGGTCTGTGGGACATGAGTGTACAGTGAAGTTCGCCATGTAACAGTTCCAGGTCCTGTGTCACTAAGACTGTTCATCCAATTGTCTGATGTCTGAAGCAGAAAAGGCAGGAGTGAAACCAAGTGATTGAGAGCTGATTCAATCCGGGTGTTCCTTCACTGCCCTCGCCAGTGATCTGCAGCAGCAGCACAGGCCTCTACTATTTGCTCTCCAGGCAGAATCTACCCCCTGAGTCAGGTGCTGCACAATTCAGAACAGCACTAGGATTCTAATGCTTGGTTGTGACCCAGAAACAACTTAAGAACTAACTGCACTTGACTCAGTTGAGCTGCACTTGTCACTCAGCAGTACTTACTGTATTAATAGAAAAGTCAACAGTCTACAAACAAGTGCAAATCCAAACCTAAATCATACTAAGCATCGGAAGAAACTATTTATAGCATTTATATATCCACAATACTTTTGTGATTGAGATTGTGCTGCATTATGTCTTTGTAACAGATGCAATGACATTAACACATGACCTGTGTAGAGCCCTTATTTTCATTAACATTTGTGATCAGTGTTGCTGGTCTCAACTGTGAAAGCTCCAGGCAAGCAGTGTGTGAGACCACCCCTGGAAGCCACACAAGTCATGACGTGCCTTTAGGGATTCAGACCTATTCCTCTTGAAGAAACTGGACAAGCAAGTGCCTGTACACTGGAACCTGCTGTAGACTGGGATGAGTGGGGAAACAACAATATATGTCATAGGTTTTTCCACAATCTATAAAGTCTAAATATTCTTATAATGAGAAATGCTGCCTAATTAACCTTGGTCCTGTAGAGTACAGACTTCTAAGACTAAGTTTCATTATGCATTTGCACACAAAGTTTGACATTTCTGAAAACTGAATACTGGGATCAGTGGTGTAAGAATACAATCGTGTCTGATGGTATAGCTCAATAGGCAACTATACCCATTTGCAGCTGTGAATTGCCCTCTAAAATTGTATGCATATCACTTAAATCAACAAAACAACAATCATTTGTCTAATTTTCGACATAATTCAATTTCTTTCACAGCGAAATAATTTCAGATGCACAACCACAGACGTAAGATGTTCAAATATCTTTTCGGTCTTTTCTAATCCTTTTTCATATAGCTTTGATCAAAACTGGATTGCTAATTTAATGTACCCAACGTATATTATGAAGCTAGCAGCAACCTCCAGTTTAATACCAAAATAAAACTAAATCCTGACTCTGCATGAGCTGTTAAGAGACGTGAATGACCACACCCGTGTCACTAGATGAAATTCTGTGTTCCATCACTGCTAACATGTAAACTGCACCTCTAACCAAACAAATTGGGCCCTTTTAAATCTATTTTTTCCCCCAATACTCAACTGATTTTAAGCAATGGAAGTTTTTTTCAGCTTCCAAAAAATTAACTACACTCTGAAGTAAAACCTTCACCTTTGTATACCTCTAAAAAGATTTCAAAGAGACTGGAACTGCACAACGAAGATTTTATATGAAAAACAGGGCAAACTGTATTAAAAGATCACAACTGACATTTAAAAAGGTCTGGAATTCAACCATTTGCAAACACAACAGGCGTGTAACAGGCATGCTACATGTTTTATTTTTCCCTTTATTAGTGGTCTAGCAGTTTGGCAGCACTCCTGAAGCAGCCTCATGTGGAACGGTCGTGACTGCTGGCGCGGCACGCGTGTGGACACGCCGGCACGCCGCTCCCAGAGCTCCGGATCCGAAATACCACTTCTGCGCTCCCCAGCGGGCCTGTGGCAGGCAGGATGCACAGCTGGCTGAACGCCTGCCTTTCAACAGCGCTAAAAATAGCTGCGGCTCATTTGCATCAGCCTGAGTGACATTCATTCAGGAGACGCCTCGCACACGAGTGCTGTGCCGTCGCATCACGACGCGCGGGGCACACGCTCGCCGACTCGAGCACACGCGCAAATCTCTTTGCTAGAAGCTTCTTCCCAGCTTTCACTCCAGGGCAGAAGGAAGACTGCAGCCAAAAAGAGAACACCCACCATCCTAACAGCTTCCTAGGCCCCGGCCCTTCAGAGTCTAATTAATGGAACCACACATTTGTGAACAATTCAGAGCATGCTTATAAAGGGGGCTTCATTTGCACACTTCTTAAGAAAAGGCTGCATCATCTCTGACCATCTTGGATACTCCGAAAACAGAAAATTGAAGAAAATGCACTCTGCTCCCATTTTCTCAAATTCTGGAGCTGGAGATTTTTAGGTCACTTTATTACCTAAACATAGAGTGATTTAAAGATCCTACAAATTAATGAGACTGCAAGCCCTGGGTTTCATCTTTAAACTGGATGAAAAGAAAGTTGATTGTTAAGGTTAGTTCCCTCTCAGAGGGAGACTAAAAGGAGATCTACAAATTCAACAAAAACATCTTATGTTCATCTTCAGACAGTGTGTAATCTATCACAGTAATTGACGATGGTTTGAAAACCTGAATCTCGTTCGAAGACGTTATCCTTATCTGATACTCCTGGGTAAGTAAGGTGTTGCAACCCTCTGAGCTTACTTATACATGACTATTATTGTAACCTCAGATAGAGCCTTTACTGAGCAATATAACAATCTTCATGTGACAGCTTGACTGACAACAAGATCAAAAGTTTCTAACTTCTGTCAAGGACTTGATTTCAGAACCATCAGCAGCTACACTGAATTCATGGAGCTTGAAGTGGATGTTGGATGTCTGTGAACATGACCACAGTCTTGCTGCAGTTTCACATATAATCTGATTAAGAGTCAAACACTTAGGGTCTCAGCACAGAACTATGTGGTAGATGAGTTGGACTAGATATTTAAAGAATCCAAAATTAACTCCCATTACCCAAACAGTAGACAAACCAACGAAGAGAAGTAACAGCCATTCTTGTATAATTTCTCACATGATCCAGTATGGTGCTGCTATTGAAAGTATCAAAATCTGCATGTAAACCATGAGGAATATTAAGTGAAAGAATCAAACCATCTTAATAAGGAGAGCTAACACGGACTGAAAAAGTTAGGAGATTTAAGATGAGATCATAGAGCTGTCCAGAATTCTTGCCAGAAATGCAAATTGAAAATAAAATGGTAGCTAACTACTAGAAAGTCTGGGAAAGTCTTCATAAAGCTGGGGGCATTTTGAAAGTCTAGCTCACAATGTGAAAGAGGCTGTTTGGCTGCAAGCCTTTAAAAAAGCCTCCAATTGAGCTTCATTCTCAGATAACTATCCACACCAAATCACTTTCAATGAGAAGCTACTTGAAAACAATTCTTGCAATTAAATGTTTTGTTTGTAAATGCTTCTAAATGTTTAAAAATGTAAACCAGGTTCTTTACACCTGTCAGTAATTTGTCTGACATATACAGAAATGCTTCAATACCTTTTCATCCATTATCCCGTATTGCAACCCAAATCTTCATAAAGAATTCCAAGACTTTTATATCCTACAGACTGACTATTCATTCATCATAGCTGCTGCACTAAGGAGAGACACGGCAAGCCAGGAGCTATCCCAGGGCACAGGTAAAAAAACACACACCCAGCCAGCATTATCTTTGGAATTTGGAAGGTAGAAACAAGCAGCTGGAGAAAGCCCAAGCAAACCCCACCCAGGACTGCATGTAGCACAAGGCGACTGTGAGCCATCACTGTGCTGCCCTCACCCAGAGGATTACATACAAGATTCAGACTCACCGAGAGATTTGGAAACCAGGTCCAGTTTTTCCTGAGATCTACTGATGAGAAAGATGAAAAAACCCCGTCGAGCCAGCTGAAAGAAAAAGCACAAGATTATATGCCTGTTGCCAAGAGCAGTCATAGAACACAGAATACCAGCACACTCAGATAGAGGTACTTCTCCTCTAAACAATGTTCCTCAAGGTCCTGTTAAATCAAATTCAGTATTCTTCAGTTAAAGATTGATCATATGTGTCTGAAGGATTTAGTACCAAAAAAACCCTAAAGGTTCTTAATAAGGAACATCAATATATACAGGACACTTCAAAACTCTTTAAATTGGAAATGCACATCCTTGTTGATACTGCAACAGTGTTTTTAATCACCATTTACCATCACTGAATGTTTTGTTTCATACACCAATATAATATAAAAGACCATCTGAACACACGAAACTGTACATGTCTATCTAGGATGTCATATTTTGGACCTTATCAACAATATGTAATTAACTGCCGTTTTCACTTTTGGGATTTTCAAGCTTGTCCCAGGTTAAACTTCTGAGTCACGGGGGTAATGTTCTCTGAGTAGAAACAGGATTGCAGTAGCTCAGCCCAAGATGGAGAGGACAGAGGGGGGCCTGTTGTCTGTTGAGGTGGAAGGGTGCTCACCCAGATTCTGCTGTTAGTAGATCTGAGGCACATCAGGGATTGAACACTCCAGATTAACAGAAAATGCGTAATTCCCAAATGGCACAGGATTTTCTGAAATTTAAGTGATCCATGCTTCTAAAACAAAAATAGCTTCTATTTACAGCACCATTATGACACCCACCACCCTTGACTCTCTGAGCACTAAACCCCCCGTAAGTCTTGTGAATGGAGGGCAAAGCAGTGAAGTCCTACCTCCTCCGCGTAGGCTTTCCCTATTCCGTCTGTGGCTCCAGTGACAACTAGACCAGGGGCGACAAAGAAAAGAGTCAGTGTGCAGAAAAGTACAGGGGGAGTACACTGCGTCTTTAAGGGCCCAGATAAGTACATTTAGCACAGTTTCACTTCAGTAAATCAAAAGCAAATCCACTGGATCATCAAACAGGAGCTTGTTTTGTGTACCAGAATAATCTAAGGCCAAAGTAGTAGAATTAGCTTCCAAATGCCAGGAATCCACTTTAGTGTGGCTAAAGTGCCTAATCAACCATGAGCAGTTAATTTTAGTAGAAAGAGAATAATAGTTTTGAGAATATTAAAATACAGAATTTTCTGAGAATAATTAAAGCACTGCGGCTTCCTAATGCCACGATTAATAGGGACACCGTCTGACTAAAGCGGAGAAACCAAGACTCCCACTGCGATGCGGCTTGATCCATTTCAGCAGCTCCACGATAGAAAATACCAACAGAAAACCAACATCAGTCTGTGTCAGACAGAGTCAAAACAAGATAACAAGTCTAAACAGCTGTTGACTTATGCAAGAGTCTGCAGCTTGAAAAACCTGAAACAGATCAAACTCTTTTACAGTGGGAGTCCCTTCTCAGTTAAAACTTCACAACTACAAAAGTCTGATTACATAGACAATTTCAGCTAAAGGGGATTAGAACTTGTAGAAGCTGAAGGAACATGAGGCTCTTTCTGTGGTATCTGAAAAATCTTTGAGGCCACTAAACAAAAATTGGTTCTTACAGCACGAGTGCAGAGCATTTCTGAGAGCACAGACCATTCATGAAACAGCTTTGCTCTGCGCATTACAGAGGCAAAGACTGCCGGAGAGTCCTTAACGCAGTGGGTGTACTATACGACAGGACGCGACCAAGCCAATTCACACCCATCCTGGAAAAGGACAAAAGCACTCATCATACAGTATCTGCTTGTCCACTGACCCTGTCCCAAGTGTTCTTCTGTGAAAGTGGCACGATCTTTTTTTCACACTTATATTATGGCTTCAATTCCTGAAAGTGAAACCTCTTGTTATTATGAGCTAAAAGCCTCTGTAATCAAACGGTTGCACCCAGAAGACGCCCCAGTCCAGAACTGAATGTAGCGCAAGGTGACCTTGTGCCATCACCATGCTGCCCTCATTCAAGTGCTTCCGACTGAAAACTACACGTCCTTCCCCTATCCCATACTGCGGCAAACATATGCACAAAAGTGAGTTTTAAATTTTCAGGACATTAGTGCGACACCAACTGCAGTGTGTAGAATTAGTTCTGGGGAAATGCAGCAACTTGACTCCACTAATTGCTCTCCTGTGGAGATCTCTAAAAAAAGTAGATGACATTTTCAGGATACATAGGAGTTGTTAAAGGTCAATAACTGGTCAGGATCTGCATTCAGGACAGTCATTAGACCTGCCCATTTACTAAGGCACCCAAAAGAACACACATGACAAGACATTTGTTAAGCAATGAGCCCCACTTTTTTGCAAGATTTAGGTTTTGCTTAAATGATTCAATTATGAAATAGAATCATTTAAACTGGAAAGATGCCCATTACGTTGACTTATTAGTATTCATTTAATAGGGACTGCAAAAACAAAGTTGTTGGCAATCATGAAGGGCTGGCACCTACACATCAAGACCAAAGAAAGAGCTGTGACTGGGAGAGACGTCAATAGTGTTGCTAATATTTCACAGTTGGGCATAAAAGGGTGGGCTGTGATGACCTCCCACGTTTTGGAAAGTTCACACCAATGTTGGCCAAAAACAGCAGACACTGGGCAAGTAAAAACTAGTCCCAACTCCTGCTGGACTGCAAGATCACTACTGTCCTTAAAGCTGACCAGCTGCCCACGAGATGGGGTGTGGTCACCGGGAGTGTGGGGATGTATACCACAGACTGGTAAAAGAGCCACCCCAGTAAAAAGGCAGCTGCTATGCAGCAGCAAGCAGGGGAATGACAAACTAAACCCACAAGAAATGCTCCTCACTGAAAGGGTTAAAGTAGATTCCATCCTGCCCGGCTGCTTTCTGATGTGCTTGCTTCGTTTGTCCTCACCTTGCTAAGACAGCAGGCTATTTTAAGCCAGTACCCAATCACCCCCGTTTCAGTTCTCACATCTAAAAATAGAGAGCCAGAAGCAGGCGTGTATTTATAGAAAGAAAGGGGAAAAAATGCCTTTTCTTCTTGCACTCTCCCATCTCAGTATTCAAGGCAGACCCTCCTGACCTCTGCTCGCCTCAGTGCTGATTAAAGATTAACATCAGCAGTCACAATGCAGTGGAGCTGCGCTGGAGGGGGGCGGGGGGCGGGGGGGGCTGGTGACGAACAATAGGATTGAAGGGAGTGAGCAAGAATCCTGAGGTTGGCTAAAAATAGAAAGGGGAGAATGAAAGGCAAGCCGTGAGCAGAGGGAAAGCTTGAAGTGAAGATGAGAGAGAATAAATCAAAAATGTATCCCCCCAAAAAAATGAATCGGTTGCCTAAAAACCTCTATGGACAGATGACAAAGCGTGTTGTTCACTGCAGGCGAGGCAAGCGGTGTTTCAGGCAAGGAGATCACTCTCCTCATTCGGCTTTGCTGCAAGACGCCACCCCTTCACAGCCACAGGAAAACGGGAGCTCATTTTCTTCTGCCCTGCCGCCGAATTCCTGACAGGCCTCCTGTCACCTTGTGCTCCCCATCATTTAGTGTCCCACCACACGCCTGAATTCACTCTCGCAACCAAATAACCAGACAATCTAACGGCTGACGCTGAATCTACTTCAAGCATATCTGCATGTTTGCTGTACAAAACTCATTTTTAGCATTTTAGGTTAAGACCTGTATTTTGCGACGGCCAGTAGTGCAGTGAAAACTAAACAGCTGAGAGGGAAAAAAGCGGGCTGTGATGACCTCCCACACTTGGAAAGTTCACACCCATGTTGGCAGGACCCTCCTGGACAGCTGGAAAGCAGGCAAGAACAGCAGGGGCAGGACAGGTGAAAACCAGGGCATGCTGGGATTGCTATACCAGTGCTGATCCTTGAGCTGAGCAGCTGCCCACTGGACAGCAGGAGCCAAGACTCTCTATGGTGGACATCATATACTGGCTGTTTCCTTTCTTTAGAGTGCTCTATATACAACCGTTTTAAAAACATTTAAAAAAAACAGCTCCGGGTCACAAATGCTGAATTGTGATCTGCTCAGAAGATTTGGTAACAACAGTTTGAAATTGTACCAAAGAAGGTTCAAGTGGTTTTAAACCACATTGCCCTTAACCATACTCACATTAACTTTCCTAGGCAAAGGGTTAAAATATTAGCAGACCGATATGGATGATGGAAAAACGGCTGAAACATATCTGAACCACCTGCACACACCAGGATAATCATGAGACTTCTAGTGTGTGATGAGATAGCCCGATGTAAAAGCTATAGGACTTAAACTAATTCCAGACTGTATCCCTCAACATCGAAGCTCCCAACATAAATAGGCATCCCATGTGAAATAGGGAAACGGGCTTACAGCTTTGCATTCTGGATTCTTTCACAGAATTCCTTTTCTTCTTACGACCCAACACGCACGCTGGCACAGAACTAGCACACTCGTGAGCGGAGCATCGGCCGCCGGCCCGCTCTTCGAGATTGCGGGAGCTGCGCTTTTGGCCGCGGGCAGTGAGCAGCAGCTCGTACAGGATGTGGGGAGGAAAGAGGGCCAGCAGGAGAGGGAGCAGGACCTGGGCCACCGCGCGCTTTATTTAGAAATGCTCCCGGGTCCCAGAGTGCGCGTGGGCGGGAGAGCAGCGCGTGAGGGGGATAATGATGAGGCAGAGGGAGTGGGTGGAGCTGTGCGAGAGGCAGGGTGCACAAGGAACGCGGACTACCACCGATTCCCAGTCCCAGAGACAGGAAAACGGCAAAGGTCTTGGGTCCTTGAACAGGCCTGGAAAGAGTTGGAAAAACCTCAACGCTTCCGTGTTGAGCACGGATCCAAAACTCACTGATAAACAGATGGTAATAACACTGCTGAAGTTGGAGGATAAGCAAGACAAGGAGATTACTTGTTTTTGCCCATTTACAATGCATCACATTTCAGCTAAACATGTAGTATGAATTAGAACAGAGCTAAAAATATTCATTTGAAACTGAAGGTCTTCTGATTATGTACATCTGTCCATAGCAGATCTGCATGAAACCCTGTGGACGCAGTAAACAATTACTCATGTGGACAAACTAAACAAGCGGAAATTTTGGTGTTATTAATGCCAAGCAGTCTTTCCCTCACCTGGCTTGAACACAAGTTTTGGACTCTGATCAGCTTAGTTGCAACCACATACAGTAGCAGATCAGAGACTGATTTAGTGTTCAGATTATGAAATGTGGAATTTTCGTCCTTGTTTTTTGGGATTGGCCATTGTTATTCAACTCTATTTACCACTACAAATCCCCAAGACAGCCTGACAGGGATGAAAAGAACACAGTCAAGCCCTAAAGCACAATCAACTGTTTTTTCTGCTGCTAAAATCGAGGAATGCAAATAGAGTTCAATTTCCATTTTTTCTCAAAGCCAAGGAAAAACAATCCTACTGGTATTGCACAGTCCCACAGGTGTTGGGCCTGTCATTAACATCCTTTCTCAGCTTCCACCTCTAATGGATGAATGCTACAAACTAGTTCTGAATGAACACTACGTGGACATCAACACCATATATTGGTTTATTTTCAACTATTGCACAGAAGAAAAAAAAAGATCAGGGATATCCTCAAAAGATACTACAAAAGTGTATAGCAAAAGACTGCTGTTTGTGGAATCATAGGTTCAGATCACAGAACACTTCCAGGCACTACTGAGACAGAAAATGTCTTACAAAGATGAATCTTTACAAATAAGAGAAGGAAAGTGACAAAAGCATGAAATCATGAATGAAGGTCTGAAGGATCACAATGCACTAAGACGACTGCACTGACTCCATGCTTTTTGTCTTAAGTGTTGCTCTGGGCTTCAAGAGGACTCACACACACCCAACCAAAACATTCT